CTAGTTTGGCGTTTGTTGCTCAGAGAAACGACACCAGTCATGTTGCCTCCCGCGGACGGGCAGTTGGAGTTGGATTCTCGCTGCTGGTCGCTCGCAAGCGCGAGCGAGTGCGCGTGGCCATGCCTTGGCCACCATGTCGTATATTAAGACTGGGATCCGGTTAGATTACGAGGGCTCGCAAGGGCTCGAGAGGGAGGGATGATCGAGACCGGTCAGACAGACACGTATCAATGTACCGTTCCATGGTTTGCTTCCTCTGCATCGTGAAGGCGACGGATGGGGAATGCGACCTAAGTCTCGCTCTCTCCGAGATTTTGTTTCGCTATTCATCTCCAGATGCAGTTGCAGCGCCTAGAGAAGGAAATGAGAAAGGCACTAGAAGAGGTATCTGCAATTCACCGTTCATCTGTTTCGATAACAGACTCGCCCATCGTTACCAAACTTCCAACCCTGAATTCATCAAATCGAACCCTCGTCCCTGTTCTCTCCTTCAATAACGCACAAGGCAAGAGAGGACTCAGGGAACTATGCTGCGGCGCAGTACACGCGGCTATATTATGCGCGGACCCGGGTATTATAAACAAGATTCTTATTTTTTTTTCGCGTGCGTGCCCTCGAGATTGCATGGGCACAGGCTGGTTATTATTGACACTGACCAACAATAAGATCGGACTATTTCTTTTTTCTGGATCTTATTAACAGGGCGGTGGGAGGAATTAATGATGGCGGGATCGAAATATGATATATCGAAAGAAGCCATATATTAGTTGGAATGGCGGGAGAAGCTTAAGAAGGAGTGTATGGAAAATAGAAACAAAGCAGCTCCAATATCGGCGATTGACTGGGATGGGAATGGAGTGCCTGAATTGTTGGGATTTTGACTAGAGACGATTAAATGAGTGAATGAATTGAAAGCAAGGCGGAAATTGGTGTTGGGAGATCCAGCTCAGCAGCCAGACTGGTTCAGTGAAGGACCAAAGTCCTCCGAGTGCAAGTGCTCTCGTCGCATCAGGGGCTCCGTGTCGAGTTTGTTGATGTACCTTGTTGCAGGTCTTTCCACAGAGCGCTGAGCAAGTACCGCTGAGACTCACTCGCGCGCTCGCTCGAGCCAGCACAAGCATCGCTTGAGGCCCGTGCAAACGAGTGAACAGACTCCCATGTCGGTCAAGGGTTCGGGGGCGGAGAGAAGTTTGGCCCAACTTTGGGGGTCACCTCTTCTCATCCGTGCAACTGTAGCTTCAGATAGGGCTGGGCCTGGGTATCGAATTGTCAGGTCAGCTCTCAACCACGGATCCGTTCCACGGTGCCGTGCGCGTGACCAAATCCTGAGAGGCCCCGTCGCTTAGCAGCATTTGATATCTTAACATTTGCTTTACTGAACGCGCAATTCAATTGCTGCATGCAAGCCCGGGGCGACGCGGCGCGAAGTAAAACCCCTCAGCTAGCAAGCTGTGAATAAGATAATTTTGCGGAACAAGCATTTCTGGGAGCAACATTCAGGTGCTTGGAAGAAAAATAATAAAAGTTTGAAGGCGGTTCCTCAGATCCGGTATTAAGGCATAAAAGTCTTAATGTTGAGGAACGGTTTCAGATCTTTGTGGAGTACAGCGCGTGTCGTGTCTGTGCTTCAACATACGAACGACAGATCATATTCGCAACTGGGTTGGGAAGAATTGTCAAAGAGCTGTTTTATCTGCCAGCCACGCGATGGATTCCCATTCTATGACAGATTATGTGCATGTTTCTCTCTGGCGTGACTTCGGCGATTCTTGAACCGCTACGTGTATTACAATGAAGTTTAAGGTGTCTAAAAAGAGTCTCAAAAGAAGAAAGATATGCGGGCGGAGATGCCAAGAAGAATGAAGCGGAAAAAGGAGATGCTGTTTGTAACGAATGTGGAGTGTGTGCAATGCGCAACACAATACAGCTACGTGTCCCTGTAGGCTGCGGAATAGGAAAAGGGCAACGCAATGAAGAAATAAATGCATAAACAGGGTGAATACAGCTGATACCCCCAGCCCATGAAAGATGCCGCTCCTGTCGCTTGCTCCGAATGACGAAATAGGACGATAAGAAAATAGATCCAACTCAAAACACTTCTTCGACCGGAACCATGGGTTCCCCTTGGGTATCTTTCCTGCCTCTCCGCACAATCCGCCTTTTGACAGCCATAAAGCTAACCGTCCAATTTGATATAATCCCGAAACATGCAAATGCCAATAAAGACCTTCTTGCGTGTGCCTGCTACTCTGACCGTCCTACCCGCCTCGTCTCGTCTCCGCCGTTGTAGTTGTAAGAAAGTGGTGAATGTGTTAATGCCGCCTCTTTGCCCATTGCGATTCGCCCCCAATTGGTCCCCGAAAACATCCCGGAAACCCTCATTCAAGCTTTTCCCAACGCCACCCGCTATGCGATATCGAAACCGTCTCCGAAGTTCTCCCGTTGAAGATATCGATGCCCCGTGAAGAAAAGAATTGTAGTCCCTAGGATGCAGGTTCTAAACGAGTGTCGAGAAAGGTATAACCGTAGATTCGTAGTAATGTCGTCAACAATGGCGATTAAATGTTATTTCCCTAGGAGAAACTGGGATCGTGACCAGCACAACCCGCCCTGAAAAAGCATCCCTTCCTGTCTCGTTTCTTCCCAAATCATTAAATTACCACGCATGAAGACCTTCGAACTGTTCGGCGAGTCACTGGAATGACGCAGTGGGGTCACTTGAGCTCGGAGCCATCTGCGACTGCGTGTAACCGCCCTGGTCCTCCTCCTCAACCTCTACTACGTCCAGTTCCGCCGCCTTGTCTCTGCATGCTGCCGGGGAAAACCCACTGCCGACTTTTGAGGAAATGATGCGCCAACGATCGTTCTCGTACTCCTGCATGGCGTTGCGAAGCTTTTGGACCTGCTTGTCCGACTTTGGTTAGCATGTCCGAAATTGTGGCCTCACGTCTCGACGTCTCGCGTTTCAGGTAGTAGCACTCACCATCTCGTCTGTCCAAACCGTCGTCTTTGCCTTGAGCTTCGTGCAATAGCGAACCTGCAGAGTACCAGAACTCCGGCCAGGGAAAAAGTCGGCAATTTGCTTCCAGGTGAGGTTCTTCTTCTCCTTCAGATCGACAAGTAGCTGGTCGTCCTCGGGGGTAAATTTGAGTTTGGGGCCTCGTGGTCGCGCCGCGGGCGGAGGCATCCCCTCCTGTCCTACGACACTGGGGGGACCATGGATGTGCTGGAGAGGAGAGGTATCCTCGCCGGCCATGCGTGGTATCTTAGTAGGACGCTGGTCGGGGAGTCGGTGGTGGTGGTGTTGAGGCGGGGGTGGGGGTGGGGCAGGTTGTTGTTGGTATGGGTGAAGGGAATATCCCTGGGACTGTGGGTGACGACCACCGGGTGTCAGTTCGACAAGGACGTCTCCAGGTGCCTGGCCGTACGGGTCGGGTGGTTGGTCTAGAGGACCTCGCAGGTCTGGCTGTAGTTCTTCGTGCGGCCGACTGCGTTTGCGGCCACCAGCTTGGGATGGATGTTGTTGACCGTAGCCGCTGATGTCGTAGGGTGAAGATGGAGACGGATGTGACATGGATGGATGATGGCGCAAGAAGTGTGGTTGATGTAGAGATGAGTGGCCTTCGATATCTGTGACTTGGAGATGGAGACCAGCCGTAGCATGTTGAGAATGTGTTTGATGATGCTGTGGCTGCAGGAGGGAGGGGTGGAACTGGGGAGGTAAGCCATACTGGAGGACGTTGTGATGTTCGACGTTTGAGGTCGGAATGTGTTCTTCTCCCGCAGGGCCTTGCACGTAGTAGTCGTCGAGGGAGCTGCCTCGATGGGGACTCGCCAGCGTTGCGAATATGCATGGAGACTACCAGAGCTAGCTTGCTCTGGCAGGCCGCCGCAGTGAGACCTGAACCAGAAAGGATGCCCAGTTTGAGATGGTGTGCCGACTCGAGGATTTGTATCGCACGTGTTTGGGATTCTTCGTGTTTTGCTATATTGACAAATGTTGGAGCAGAAGTAGCCTGGAGGGCCGCGCCATCAATCAAGCTCGAAGAATCTTATCGGGTCGTGTTAAGTGTCTGGGTTGCCGGATATAGCCTTGAAATACAAAACTTTTCTTTGAGGTATGGTTGGGAGCGCGCCGTGCATTATAACATGTCGTTTGCGCGAGATAGGAGAAGCATTGAAGAATTTGGGGCAGTATTATCCCTTCAAAAGCGCCGGTCCTGTGCAATTGCCACACGGACTTCTGTGTCCAAGCACCAAAGGCAATGGGTCTTCCACGAGACGGTCTTTGTTCCTGAAAGGTAGGGAATTAGCTGAGTAGGGCAAGCCCCAGGACAAATTCTACGTCAAGCATAATGCGGTGATCAATGACCGGGGGAGGGTGCCCAGCACTAGATCTGGAGAGTAATCGCAGGTCATTTACGCAGGTTGCAATGCCGCTGGGCTCGTGTTTTGAGTGGCTGACCGTCCAAAATGAGGGCCGCCAGAAGGTACTTGTCCAAGCTCCAATCGAGCACCGCCCGCCGAGGAGGATGGTGGTCCATGCCACCGCAGCCCTATTTCTAGAACCCTCACAGAAGATCTCCAGGCCGTTACAGGCTCTGCAGGCTCGATCCTGGATGCAGAACTTCCCCCAGCGTAGCCCGGAGAAGGCGCATTAACAGCACTCAGAAGGGTCTAGGACGGCCGTGGCGAGCTGGCAAGGGGAAGATGAGCTTTCCCCATTCGGCGCCGCCACCTGCCAAAACACCTGTATGCCATACAGATGAGACCAGAGTCGACGAGCCAGGATCGCGGGAGGAACAGCTGGGAGGTCATGCTGGGACCAGCGAAGAGCGGCTCGCCGGACGAAGGCGCCTGGGCTGACAGGCGCTCATGATGGGACATCAGGGCATGGCATGCCATGACGCTCAGCGAGCTCTAGGCCATGCCTGACAATGCCGGCCGTTATGCGGACACCTTTTTGCAGTGGTTCTCGGGACAGGCAACGAAATGCCGGCAAAGGGAGCGGTCTTGCCGTGGTACCCGCCTGTAAGCCGTGAGAGGGCAGCGGGTCCTCAGTCAGTCGTTCCTCTGGACGCATTGGCATGGATGGCTTCAGATTGGCCCATGGGCCATCAGCTCATGCAAATGCCGTTTCAGGACGCTATACTATAACCCATGCGCTATATGCGGTTGCCCATCCCCACCGAGCGCGAGGATCGCCCGAGCCACAGGAATCTTCCGACTGCGAGCCCTGCCGAATGACGCACGAAAGAAAGAGTACTGCAGCAGAGCGGGCGTACGGATGGATGCGTGCAGAATAGTGGCGATGGGAGATGCACGCAGCGGAGAATATTATATATGAGACACCAGCCGCGGCGACAGGAAGCAAGGTGGGGAGAGACGACGTCGAGGAGCAAGCAATGAGGCAGAGGTACGTACATGTGGCGCTACAACACCGACTGGGCCGCGCTAACTCGGGAGAACTCAGAACAGAGAACAGCACCACCATCAGGAAGGCGAGACGAGCTTGGCGTGGCTGGCAGCACGCCGTTTTGATCTGCTGGCTGGATGTGCCCCTCGCATCGCACACTCGCATTCATCTCGACTGCAGTGCAGCCACCAGATGGGCCGCAAGATAGATGCAGAACAACTGATCATTTACCACGATGCAAGACCGCGCGCCACCACGCACATAGAGATAGATACAGGCGCGCGAGTACGGTCGCCGCAACGACGACCCACTTACCCACCTCCTCTCTGAGGTCGGAGGACGGAGGATGTGTCCCTCGTTGGTGCACGGTGTCGCACGTGACTGTTTTCGCGACTGTGCATGACCAGGTCTCTCCATGGGTGCTCCCTACTAGAAGGGCTCGTCGTCATTTCATATCACGGCGGTGGTGATATTTGGTCAGGCCTTGCACTTGCTTGATATGCCAATGCCAACTTCAAGTGCTCGACCAACGACGTTTCTATTAGCCATTTAGGCTGTTATAGCTGCGCGCACACTCATAGGCCTAACCTTGACGTGAGATCGCTGCCCTTCATTTGTAATCGTGCTCAACTCTCAGTTGAATCCTCGACCGGGAGGAAACAACGGTCCTGCCATCTGCTTGTCGCCCACGCGCTTCCTAAACTGGCGCGTTCTAGGTGCACGCAGACGTCACGCTGACAAGAAGGATCCAATCGTGCCGTACGCGCCGTGGAGCTCGGAAATCCTGCCCTTGCGCTCGCATACTCCCTCTTGACGCGTTCTTTGCTGGCCATATCATGGCGTACCTTCGTCCATTTGGTCAAAACGCTTTCTAGTCGCCCAACTACGCACTACACACTACGCACAAGCTCCACCGGGTCGGTTCGGCAGAGCAGCCGCAAGGCCCGTTCGCAACGTTACACGAACACATCGCGACCGAGATCTCCACATCGATGCTGATGGCGCCAGAGCGGGAGGCGGTCAATCCATCCACCGGCGACGGTGCGGCGTTGCGGTATCGCCACACAACGGGAGGCAGCATGTGTGTGCCACACTCAGCGGCGAAGTCGGCTCGAAGTCGATCTTCGAACTGGAGCAGGGGACGGAGGAAATTGTTTTCTGGTAGAGGCAAGTCGTTGAAACATACCATGTAAACAGCAGCAGGTGCCCGAAACAAAGGAAGATCTTGAAACGAAAGACATATTAGGATCCGACCAATGACGGCCTCAGTTGAGCCCAGACTCCCGGGGAGCTGTCCGAGTTCAGCAAGGAACTGGATTCGCCGCGCTATCAGGCCTCGCTACTTCAAGAAAGCGGATATTACGCCCAGAGTCGAACCTCCTTCGAGACCAATTCCAATACCACGGAAGAGACGGTGAGAGGAGAGAATAAGCACCAAAGGATAACACGAGATAAAGACCTAACCTGACCGGGCATTGTGACTAAAATGGAGAAAGACATATGTGTCGTATGCTCCCTCTCCAAGAACCATGTCCGAAGAATCCAAAGGAGACGAGCGGCTGCCGACAGAAGCTCTGCACATGCAATGCTCTATGTAGAAAAGAGAGCTGGTATCATAAGGTGAGCCCAACGCGCTAAATCCGGAAAGATGCAGCCTGTGTTCATAAACCGTTCAAACCTTCCCACCAAAATGCTCCTTCGCATACTGCTCGCACGCCTACAATCTGTTAGCTTGAGGTTCACCGAAGAGCACGATGGGACACAAGAGATGTATTTCAGGCCTACTTTTGCAGGTTTTCCAACCTTTTGTCCGATAACCTTCCACTTGTTGGAGTCGTACTCCTTGATGGCGGCAAGAAGCGCTGCGCTCTTTTTTTTTTTTCAAATTGGTCAGTGTGTGTTCACCGAGAGATACATTAGATGCTGAAAGAGACGCAGAGAGGACCCACCTCGTCTTCTCCGAACTCGGCATAGTGCATGTCCTGGAGCAGTCGTGATCAGCGGACGAGCAGTACAAAATGGCCAACGGGGCCCCGCCTACCTTGTACCAGTGTTTTTTCACGCTTCCTTCTGTTCGTTGTGGGAAGGTCTGACGTGATGGAACCCGAGTCAGTTACCAGGGTCTTTTTGAATCAAGTTCCCCCTTGAAGGAGGCTGTGTATCAAGTTTTGCGGTTCTTAGATTTGTGTTTGTCTACTCCGTACCTTTGCGATCTCGCTCCAGCTGTTCCCCGCATCTCTCATCGTCTTGAGTCTCTGCTCCTCAGCCGGCGTCCACGGCGTGTTGGTTCTACTTTTCTTGACTTTAGGTTCTGCCGGCGGCGGGTCGACATCGGCCTTTTGAGCAGCCGGTGCGTCGCCAGACGCTACTCCCGTTGGGGTCGCGTTGCTTGCCATCTGGTCCAGGGCCTGGCCAACCGACTTCCGCTTCCTCGAGTTCCCTGGCGACGTCGGTTGCGGGAACGAGGAGAAAGGCTCTTGAGCTGGCGTGACCGCCGGCTGGAGACTGGGGAGCTCGGCAGACGCGGCGAACTGAGAGCTCGGCTGCGTGGTTGCTGCGATGGGAGAGGGTTTCAGGTTGCGTTTTGCGGCCGGCGAGGAACTGTGAAACGCAGAGTACGACGTCAGCGTGCCCAGCGTGATTGTGGGAGGGCTCAGTGCCCAGTGCTCAGTGCTCAGCACGAGACGGAGGCGACGACACGGACTTGCTGGTGGAGTTGAAGATGGGACTCACGACATGGCGAACACGGGCGATATGGGGGGGGCGACAGGCAAGCAGAGATGCGGGAGCAGCTTCACTGGTGACTGTGGTCGCGCCTACAAGGTGAGGTCATGCTCTAAGCAAATTCAGGACCGCATTCAAAGGGCAAAACGGCCAGAGCGAAGGTGGTAGATCAACATGATATTCAAGTAGGCGATCGCCTGGCCGGGTGCGGACGCTGATCTTGTACATGGATACAAGAAGGGTCAGGTTCGCAGACAGACGAGCGAATGGGAGCATTGCAAAGGCATGAGTGTGGAGGACGACCAGGATACTTTGGGGTCAAGCAGCCAAATGCCGGCGGGGGCAGCCGCCAGAACGGGGAGAACGAGGTACTGGTACCTGTCTCCTGGTGAGGGAGACTGGGGGGAGGGAGGTAGCGATACTTGGGGCGGGCAGACAAGAAGCGGGGTAATAGCCTCCTCGACGGGCCTTGATGAATTAGGTGGCTTCAAAGTTACGGGGACGAGTCTTGAAGGGCGGGGGAGGTGCAGCCAGCGCGTGACGGTCTCTCATGCGAGTGTTGCATGAAATGCATAGCGACCGATGGAGCTGGCCAGCAGCGGCCGCAGGCCAGCAGTGAATGCACAGACGAGCACCCGCAGCCCTGGCATCTCACTGTGCTGCCCGCGTGAAAGAGCGGCCTCAAGAGAGGGTGGGCGCGCAGTATGGAATCACGGCGAGCGCAGCTGAGTGCGTGGTGGTGCAGTGATGGTGTTAATGAATAGTGATGATGGTGGGAGTTAGTGAGGGGGGGGGGTTGGTGCGTGCACGGCGGAGCAGGAGGAGAGCGACTTTGCGTTTTTCTTTTTCCTTTTTCTCGCTCGTGCTTTCTGTCCCTTCATCGGTGAAGCGAGCATGGGCAACTCACGACTCACAACCGCCCGCCACCAAGAGACAAGAGAATGCCATTGCAGTGTCCGCCGACGTCGCACATCTCCAAGCGCGGCCAGCTCAGCAATCATTGTCCAGCATAAAACATTTCTGCTGGCCAATGGGCCGCTCCGATTTGTAGATTATAACTAATTAACCCGCATTTCCAGCGTCGCAGCGCCAGGCGATCCCGGCCCAGCAACCCCTCTCCGCTGCGCACTCGCTCCAGTCGACGACGTCCGCGAAGCAACCCCGACCATGACACGGAGAGACTTCCTAACCTCTTCATATGCTCCTATCGTGCGCTCGACTTGTGAGCTCCGAGCACTGCGGTTGTTGCGCTCTTAAACCCCTCGCTGCTCCCCGTGCCTGAGGTGCTGAGCGGGCCCGCGCCAAGGCCGCCGTGCACCTGATACGCCCCCAGTGTCAGTCCAAGCCTCCGCGTTTGAGAGCAGTGCCAGAGGCCTCGCCGGCGCTCTCAGAACCGCTCTCCCCCAGCTCTCACACTCACCGCCAGCATCAGCGCCTCCATGATCGCTCAAGGGAGCTGCCTGGGGAGGATGCCTTATCGTTGATGCTCAAGAACGGATCTCAGCGGTTCCGGGCTTTTTCGTTTCGTCTGTCTCACGACGCCAGCAGCCTAGTCGTACGAGCCCTTTTGTCTTGCGCGTCATCTCGGCGATACCGCAGCTGTTTGTTCTATGCCGTTTTCTGCTGCTCAATTCTGCTGCTTTTTGCTCGAATTTTCGTGTTGCCCGGTGCTGCAGCTGCCGCCCTCGACTCAGATCCAGATAACCTTACCTGTGCACTGTTCCCTTCAGAGCCTGTCACCCCGTTTTCCGAGTTAGCGCCCGCCCGTAACGAGCCTCCGGGAGAGCTTGTTTCCTCCTCAAAACATTGTCAAACGTCTCGCTTCGCACAAGTCCGCAGCACGTCCCACCCTCTAACACGCCCAGTTTTGAAACTGCTCCGCTATGCACCAAAGAGGCTGTAGAATTCATGCAAGGCCACTCTCGATCAACCGTGTTCCGGGCATCCAGATCTCATTCAAACTTCCAACCCATCCCCTTCAGGCTTAGCATGTCTCGTGTCAAGGAATTTCTAAACATTTTGGCTCCAACGCCAACGTCGACCATGACGACGATCAAAACTTAGTTGCAGGACTGAGGTTTGAAAACGTTGCCAACATCAAGTCCTGCCACTCCAATCAGCCATGCTGCTGTCGCGTCCCAAGAACGACCCGTTTCTTGTCAGTGTCCAAACTCTATATCTTGTCTGATGCCCCAAGTTTTCCAGGCCTCAACCGCTCTTGTTCAATCGGCAACAGTCTTTTGGTTTCTCTTAGCAGCCTTGTAATTACTTTCTTTTATCTCCCACTGGTTGGGCTGCCTTCCGTTCCTTAATTGACATTGCTGAGCAATTACATTGTGTTTACCTTCCTTCACACCTTGTAATACATTCCTTTCACGAGCCAGCCTCGAAGACAACCGACGAACATTCCCTTGCGGACAACGACTTGACGACAACGTCTTACTATCAACTGCCACTGTCTACTGTCTCTATACACCTCAACAGTCCACATCAACACCCACAGCCAACATGCTTCATCACCAGCCCCAGATTCTCTCTCCTCTCAACGAGATGGACTCTCAGTCTACCTCCTCCTCCAGCTTGCGAGCTCGGAAGATGTCTGCCGGTGGAAATAGGTCTTGGTCCGAAGAAGAGGTGAGCATTAAACCAAATCCATGTTTGAAACACCCTCTGACACATTCTCAGGAGAACTACCTCCTCCAGACCCGCATGCAGAAGATGCCCTACAAGCACATTGCTGCTCATCTCAAGAAGACCGAGTTGGCTTGCCGCCTGCACTTCCATCAGTTGTCGCACGGAAGCCACCGCCGTAAGCGCACCTCATCCGTGTCCTCCGCAACCTCGTCAAGCTCCGCCGGCCAATCCCCGGCTTATTCGATGGCAGTGGACAATGATGATTATGTTCAATCATCCCGCCATGGCTCCCCCATGAGCTACAATGGTGCTAGCCCGCACATTCGTGCCGCCTCCATCAGTGCTTCTCCCAACCGCAATCAGCACAAAATCCTTCTTCCCAAGCCGCGCCCGTTAACTCCGCGTGACTCTCCGGAGCCCCACAATGCACTTCGCATCAATACTGAGATTGTCCATCAACCAAAGGTTGTTGACACTGACCGCCTCCGTGCCATTTACGAGGCCCGCCGTCAACAGTTCTGGGCCAACATTGCGGCTGACTATGGTGCCGATGTTAGTCCAGCCCAGCTTGAGGAGATATGGCGCTCTGGCTCTAACCCCGTCCGCCCTCCGACTCCCGACGCATCTCCGGATGGCAGCGTCATGAGCAACCCTGTTCTGAAGCCTTCGCCTTTCCCTTATGCGTCGCCTGTCCACAGCGAGCCTAGCAAGCACTACAGCCCCCTTAACATCAGCGCTGTGTCCGCTCCCGAGCGAATGCCGTATGTTCTCCCTATGCCGGTCCCGTCTGCTGGACGACAAAGGAGTGGCACCTGGAGCTCAGCTCCCCGGGATAACGTCCCGATTGCGAGTTTGTTGACGGAGGATAAGAACCCGCGTGCTCAATAGATTTGGAATATTCCTCTATCTCTCTATTTACAATAAATCGACTTCATGTCGACTTTCCTTCAGTTGATCGATTGATTCAATGTTTTCGAATGTGGACGGCACAACTTTCATTCTTACTTTCGTTAATCCTTCTTGTACTTCACATTATTTTATTTTGCTATTTGGGTGGCATACCAGCGAATCAAGGTCGGTCTCAGACGGAATGTCGCCGATCTTGATCTTGCCGGAGTTGGACGGCTTAGGTTTTTCTTCACCCACAAAGTTCAAGGGAGGCACTTGTACGATAATGAAGGGAGGGAGCTTTCGAGCCACTCGAGAAATCACATGTGCGCTCTGGATAGAAACCTAGAAGCAACGAGAAACGAAGATTTTCTTAGCCGTTCTGTGCCACCCTTGATACCTTCATCACGCTGCATTTTGCTTATTTAGTGCCTCGTGTTCTCGTGTTCTGACTTCAAGTTCTGCAGCCTCTGCTTGGCACATGCAGAGTTGATGTTCTCCTGCATCCTGACCCGCAGATCTTCTGGAGGCCGAGACAAGGTTGTTGAATGACCTCATTTCAATTTCGTTTGTTATTTTTAGAGACTTTCTACCACGACTCACCATTACGGCTGTGAGAGCAAAGCCCGATTTGTAACAGCATGTCAAACGAATCCAAGAGACTTTGACATTGGCGTTTGGCACACTTGCGACTCGCATTCCTTCTCCTTGATGCGGCAACCGATGTCGTGCTTTCTCTTCTGGGCGATCTGTAACACGACCCTGACTCGTCGCACTAACGACTTCAGAGCTTGAGAATAGCCCAGACTTGAAACAACACCTCACCCCTTCAACAGCCTCATCCATAATCCAATTTTATGCAGCCGATGACTAACATGCAGCTAGTCACGCCACGCACCACCTTTATTTCCACCTCCGTCTTCTTTTCCGAGAAGGAATCCAACCCCCAAGCGAGTCACAACGTCCTCTCAGCTTCATGCCGCTGTCTCCCAGTGGAGCTGCAGTGACGCCACTGGCAGCCTTGCTAGTTCCTTCATAAAAGCCAGCTTTAATGCCGTTCGTCGATCAAAGCTTAACCAAACCACGCAGATTATCACCAATTGAGCCCCTGTCCACCTCCGGTCCCACCCTTGAGGCACATCTCTTCTCCCCCCCACTTGACTCTCCCTTTCCCTCCAGCCACACTAACTCCCCTGCCGTCCATCTCTCATCTTTCATGCATCCTCCCTGGGATGAAATGCCGGCAGGCGATCAGGCAATCACGCTTGTACCGGCCCAATGCCGGTGTCGGTATTCGAAAGGTCCGTTGGTATGCAAGTCTTTTATTACCTCATCTCATGAGGTTAGCATTATGCATTTTGAAAGTCTTGTCAGGGGTTAGGGGGTGGTGAGGCCGGTTGATGTGTTCATGGGGTGCAATTGCCATGCTAGTGTGGCGTGGGCGAATGGTTGTTCCCTGATGCCTTGCAAGGTACGATCCGGGGGGGCCTCAGGTCATCCATAAGTTCCTATGTAGGGAAGAGCTCGGGATGGACAAACGAAGATGACAGGGCTGATATCATCGGTAGATCATAACCCGAGGGTACCGTGGCGAGAAGATGCTTGAGGATTGGAGGGCGAGCAGAACAATACAACGCACCGCCATCCCAGAGGCTCCAGTGTTCGTGGGCGTTGTCGGGGTCGCTGCGTTCAGAGTCTCCTGCAGTAGTTTGGCGGAAGTCCAAGCGCGTAAGGGTGCACTGTTTCCTGTGCGGTTCTTAGATGGTCACAAGGTTTACAGAAACGTGTAGAGACAGGCATATCTCTTGTCGCCCATTCTTTGAGGCAAGGTTGCGAAACCAGGTAAGTGGTTGGAACATCCTATTTCTCTTCTCGACTGCAGAATGCAGTCTGTAGCCTCATGACCTCTCTCTGCTTACTCTAGTTACTCGCCTTCATTCCTCCTTCGACTAAACGGCTGTTCATGACTCACATCATCAACATCGCACGTCCATCACATCATTGACCCCCCTCCAAAGTCCAGAACCAAATCCAAACCCCCACGCTCAGCCTTGCGGACATCTATACGAAGCATTAGCAACTCATTTACTGCTCGGCATTTGTCGTTGTCAAGAGCCGAAATGAGCAGCAGCGGCAGCAGCCGCAACTCTACGGCGTGTTGGGTCGAGTCACGAAGAGAAATTGCAGCTTGCGCCACCAACCTGGGTCTTAATGATCACGTAGGGAGAATAGGAGGCGCTTACTGGACGTCGTCATTTGTTAACTCGACGCGGATCTCAACTCCGTTAGGGCTTCGTTGGCGTAACTGACGACCCCCACGATTCTTGTATCTTGCTCTGTCTATGATCTTGGTGGAGATTGCGTTATGACTTGTCAAGTTAAAGCATTGTTTAATTCGCCTCCATATGATCATGCCATTTACACGTGAAATAAAGTCCTACGGCGATGTTATGCTCTTTAAGCATAGCTAACCTGAAGGTTTAGTTCCTTCCCCATCGTGGGCCTCAAATTTGGGTTTACTCGTATTTGCGAGCAGCCAGGCCACTTTAAGCTTTAGGGGATCAGGCCCTGATGGCATGATGTTCTTCTACCGAGGCTGACTTCATACTTGACAGAGTCTACTTGGACGTATTATTCACTCAACTCTTGCTTGTAAAGGAAGGCACGTTCACAAGGCTGCTTTTGAGCGACGATTGTAGATATTGGAATGCACTATCGGGAGTAAGAAAACCCGTGATTCCCACCAAACTCAGCCTCGTTCATTTCAGACACTATGCATCCTGATCCGCGATTTTCTTGCTCTCTCATCAGTTAAGATAGCAAACACCAAAACATGAAGATTCTCACCATCATGAAGATATGATGTCTTCTTGATTGCATTCTCGCTACCTCTTCGTCTTCCGCTCATCTCATGATTTGATTGTTCAGATAATTCTAGTATCCTCACATTTTATACAGTCCTAGGCTCTTTTTCAACTTGTTAGTGAGCTCGAATTTCTATTCTCCAGCTCTAGGATCACGGCGTGATTTGAAAAGGAGAAATTAGAATTGGGACATTTGATACCTTGCCTGTGATTTTTGGACATGGTTATGCCATCAAACTATTAATACTCTCCATATAGAGAAAGACATGTTTTGGTTCTCAGTATGGTTTAGGACTCATCGGTTGATACTCACGGAGCTTTCCTCATTCAGAAGTCCTAGCGAGTAGGCCATGGCTCACAAAACCCGTAGCTTTTAGAGACACGATTGCAGAGAAGACATGTAGACCCCGGGATATTTTAGCCATATGATATTGGGGCGCCAACTTCTAGTCCCAAAGGGCTGATGGTGGATCATTTCTCACAAAAGCTGACACTTTTAGAGACAAGGCTGTATAGAGAAGACATGTGGTGGTTACTCAGGTGATTTAAGACACATGTGATTCGGAGCTCGATATCTTAGTCTAGAGCTATCCGCAAATGGATCCTAGTTCACAAAACCTGGAGGTTTTTGAGAGACGGTTGAGAAGAGAGGTCATGGAAAGGTATATCTTAGAGTTTCGTCCAGAAGTACTAAAAGGGACCATTTATTACTGGAGTTAGAGTTTTATTCATGTACCTGAAATTGTCCTGGACTTCGTTTTTACCGGCAAAGAGCACAGAATCATTGTACATATAAGCTAGAGTTTTCCCCTGAGACATAGACAGCCTCCGCAGATACCTTTTCAATCTAGAAGTAACGTTACTGATGGACAAACCATTGCGCACAAATGCTGCAGCTTTTTGTCACTCATTTTTTGCGTCTGAATAGATAATTTAAATTGTATCGAAGGTACCATGGTGCGTTACTTTATTGAGTTTAAGCGTAGTAGCCAGTGAGTCTAGATTTCTTAGTCCGCGGGAGACATTAGCGGTGTAGGACATTGCAAAGACACCCTTACATTTGCGACTTCTGTCACGGGGATGCTACAAGCAAGAAGTCAAAGGTTCAAAGAGTAGCGTTGATGGGTTGCTACGTACAATGTCAAGTGAATGTAAAGACATTGCGCGAAGAAAGGGAAGCTTGACAGGTTCAAGCAAGTATTTAAATGGGGTACTGGAGCTCTAGCACAAGGCTTATGCGTGAGATTCTTAGGAAGGTTCATGGGGCTTCTTGGTAAGGCTTCCTCCAAAGTCCAATGGATGTCAGGGTTGAAAGGTGTCACAGGTCGTTACCGTAACAACTTCATTTATTTCCCTAGGATATTTGGTTTGCCTGCGTACATTGTATATCCTGTCTAGAGGGTCACTTGAGGCACTTTTGGGTATTTTAGAGACATCGGAAATTGGGGAAGACGACTTTTAGTGTTGGGGAAGCAAGCAAGCCATGCTAACCTGCTGAGAATATTTTTATGGCTCTGGCGTTCTTCATTACGGTTTGTATTTTATTGAAGGGGAGGGGAACTCTGGCATGAATATAAAAAGCAGAAGAAGGAGATAGAACGGGGCTTAATACTTCTATGAGAGGAAGAAGGAGAGAAGGAAGTAGCACGTGATTGTTACGCTGACAATGGCTGAAGGCCCGATTCGCAGCGCTGAAAGGAATACTTTCGTGTCGCCTTACTGCTAGAAGATATTCAACATGAGAGCTTCGATGCAGCTTCTGATTAGACAAATGATACAGGGCTCGACCATTTCTTAGGGCAATGTATGTGCAGTTTTTTGAAGCGAAAGATTGGGGGGGACGACGCACCTATGCACACCATCGAGGCATTTTGATACTCGCTACTTCAAGCTCCTTTGCTACGTCATTTCCTTCTCAAGCATTTCGCAGTATAAAAGCCACCGTCACCCTCCAATTTCATTTACACCTTTCACTAGGTCCGCCATGGATATGAACTGCCAAACTTTCACAGTCGGCCGAGGGTTCACGATTTATGTAGTCTCATCCGATTTATTGCTCCCATCCATCACTTCAATCACGGCGTGGAAACATTAAGTTTTGATTGATTGATATGTTGTATTAGCAGAGGGAATTTTAGAGCCATTTGCTGAAGCGATCGAATATTTAGCAGCAGCAAAGTCAACGACGAAAGCACACGTCCTCTATGTCTTTGTAGGCGCCAAACAACTCCCATTGTTATTGTTCCATATATTTTCTAATACTCCCGTCCGCTGCTCCAACCAGAACACAAACCCACACTTTTTATTGCTCCCTAGATAGAGGCTTCGGTAATGATAAAATCGTAGGCTGAATTAGCTATGTAGTTAGAACCGAGAAGAAACGATGCAAACGGTATTCCCGAGTTTATAATTTTTCATTAAGACATACTTACGAGTGTTAAGGATTTTTAATTATAGCTAGTCACTGCACATTTGCGCGTTCGACTTTCCTTAATCGGTCAGCCTACGCTTTGGTACAGGGGAATTGGATACCTTAACCCTGATTTAAGACTCTGGGAGAGCTTCGCGAAGTTTTTAAACTATCATGAATGGAACCAGTAGCGATGGTAGCCCCTGGGAGCGGTCTCCGACTACTGGACGATCTGACGGAATATTTTAGACATCATGAGAGAAAGTTGCAGACACCTTCTATATGGCAATCCATTCCGCAGCATGAATGCACTAGACCTCTTATCCGTGATCTTTAGACCCTATGATGATGCCGAAAGACAGTTTTAGACTGACGTATATAGCATTTGGGATGCATTTTTTGCCTGCAGGAAGGAGACTCTCTAGCTCTTGCCATAGCTGCTTTCGACATTTTAGACTTCATGAGGGAATAATGAAGATATTTATAACCCACCAACGCACTCTGCAGAGACATGAGACGCGTATATCTATCCTTGATTTTAAGCTCTGTGAAGCAGCTATCTCGATCTTTTCTTTCGCATCATGAAGTAGATCACCGCCTAATAGTTTGCAGGCGCCTCTCCACTCATAAGATACCCGACTCAACATTTTAGTCTTCATGGTAGGGGGAACTTGTGATTCTTAGCCTCCGAACACCATCCATGGAGGCAAAGGATGGCTTATCTTTATTTAAGACCCCATCGCAGGTTGATGGAGATATTTTAGAGAGGCATCATTATCTGTGCTTGAATGTTTTAATCTACAGGAGCATCTGCGCTATGTAATGCCGGGGTAAAGCATCTCAGACACCACTGGAGACATAGTGAGTGAATTTAATTCCATGCTTGATGTTTTCAATCCGGTTTGGTTTAATGGCATTTATATTTTTGCTCCTTAAACCCCATGAACTTGGATTTGCCGCTGTCTTTTTGGCTGGAATGCAGAGGTGGAGAGTGGGTGAGGAGGCAGGAAGGCCGAGGGCGGGCCCCTTTTCTGTGGGACTCCTGGATAGGGGCCTTAATCGCGGAGGTAGCTGGCATATGGGCGGGGTGAGAAAGAGTATGTGAGAGGGATGAACACTTTCGGGAGTGGTTGCGTGGTGTGAAAGGAGTTTCTATGAATGATCAGAAACGGACCCGACATTCTAAAGGGTAATTCCACACTCTCCTACGACGTAGGAAGTATGTCGCTACTCCCGTTTAAAGAAAGCTGGCAAGCTTTTGGAGGAATAGTGTGTGTCCTGTAATATCAGCAAGTCAACGTTGAAGACAGTATCACAAGTAATACCAAGCAAACACTCGCAAGACTTGGCATTCTATGAGATTCAACCTGAATGCCGTTGCCTTAGGCCCAATACCTATAACTCCATCCTTTTCACCCTCCCAAAACGCCCCATAGAAACCTAGAGCCAAATGCCAACTCCCTAGCCCGCTCCCTAGAATAGAGAGCTCCGAGCTTTCTCAAACCGGCACTCCTGCGAAGGTTAAATTTTTAGCAAATTCCATTAAAGAGTGGGAGCTTTTTTGAGGCCGACACAATACCTAACATGGAGTTCATTGATGAAGTGCTCGTGTCTGATGCCGGGCTGGCGAGCAGTCGCGAACAAATCGATGGCCTCTTCGACCTTGTAGCCCAGCCGCTCAACGAGATAGCTGACGACGAAGAAGCCCGTGCGGTTGAAGCCATAGTGGCAGTGAACGCCTATAAGCGCTTGCGCTTGCTCACCGGCGCCCACACCCTGCTTCAGCTCCGCACGGATCTTGTCGATCAGCGCGGTGAACTGGCGGACCTCATCCACCGTCGGCGGCAGTTTTGAGACGGTCGGGAACTTATGGTACTCGATTCCGCCGTCCTCGATGCCCTTTGGATCGTAGACTGGCGAGTCGTGGCTAATATCTACAATCGCGCGGATCTTGCCGGCCCACTCCTTTACGAAGATCTTCGGTGCGTGGTGCTCGTCTACTTCGCGTAGCGTCTTCATCGCGCGGAAGACGTTGGCGATGGGGAGTGACACTGGCTGCACCGCTCTCCATTTCTCTAGGTTCTTGACATCCCATTTGCCCCCGGCTGTTAAGTACTGCAGTTGCCAGCCGAGAGAGAGACGTGGGTCGACGTGGTCGGCGAGGAAGGTGCCGATGAGCCCTGCGAGAGTGCGAGAACTGGATGGCGCGAACAGCAAAGCATGAGCTGCTGGCTTGGGAAGAATCGTAGTCTTAATGACAAGGCGTCGGGGATACGGTGGCGGGAGCTCGGAGGCAGGCGAGACTAGATTGGTAGACGCTGACGTTTCCGCAATGGTTGCGCTCTCTCCCGTTGAAGAAGTTGTGTCAGCATTTACCAAGCTTTCGCCCGTCGAAGAGGCTGTAGAAGAGGCGGGAACGGTGTTGTCATCGAGAAGTTGAGGTAGGTCTCGTGCATCTACCCCTGAGTCTTGGTGCTTTCGTTCTGCGATCGCAGGATCGATCGTGGCGGGATCTATCGGAATGGCAGCAATTGGCAGACTGACTGGTTCTTTCCGTCGTTCGATGGCAGACATGTCTCTTCCTAGGAACCTCACAATTTTCTCCACGTTATGAGTAGGTGTGATATTGTCAGCGTCACCGGCTGCAAGGAACACTGGAAGCTGCAGTCCACTCCAGACTTCCTTTCCTGGAAGGCCACCCTGCGGGGTTCCCATAGAATAGTCGGGAATCATGCCACGCGCCATCCGTTGCCAGACCGGGGTTTGGCTCTGTTCATTGAATCGGAGTTGCAATTTCTTGGTTTCCTCTTCAGCATTTGGACCAGCCATTCGCTCAACGCTTTTGCTATTAACACCTCCTCGGCGATCGAGTTTACGCATCAACTCGAAGATAGGGCCGGGGATCGAAGTAACAAGATTTATACTTTTGCACTGCCTTTTGGTCGGCGGTTCGGCGTTTGGGCAGACTGCAATCAGGCCATTAATGTGCTCTGAGATTAGGTCTGCATATGGGGACGAGGAAGACGCGAGGAGCGCTGCCAAAGAACAACCCATACTATGGCCGATGAGGACGACACCTTGACCTCCATCGCGGTCTCGATGCGCCTCGATGATAACGGCGAGGAGATGCACAAGGGCCTCGGTTGTATACGCGTTCCAATCCTTGGGTTCAAACGACGAGACGCCGCATCCAGGGAGATCAATTGCGAGACATGGTGCTAAGTTGACCAAGCTCACAAGAATGGGATGAAACTGAGCCGCGGACCCCCCAAGTCCATGAATGAAGACAAGGAGTGGAACAGGATTCGGTTTGCTAGGCAACTTCTTCTCCTGGGAGTGTGGACGATAGAAGGTGCGGATGGCCGGGTAGGTGAAGCCTGTCCTGGGTACTTTGTATGCTCGCACGGTGGAATGCTTCTTTAGGAGGCCAGGATCGGTTGCCGTAGCATCTTCTATGGGTCAGCGGCAGAAATTGGAACCATGGGAATTGGAAAAGCCATGCGCGGACTTGAGCGATGCCCCATGGAGCGTCAGCCCCCCCGGCCGATAACGTCACGTGAATGCAGGGAGCTGCAGGAAGGGTACCGAGAGTCTTACCATCGCTGGAAACATCTGATACCGATTTCCTCGATCCGCTGACAGAGCGTGAGGTCTTCTTTTCTTTGCTGTGGTTGCTCCATATCCAGAGCGCCGAGCCGATACCGATGCCACAAATCGCCGTCAACTTCACCATGCCCACAAAAATAGACTCTCTGCTATCAATAAAGGAGAGAACGTGAAGTAGGCGTTGAAATAGGCGTCTCTTTATAGTCTCCCACCAGCCTGAATAGGGAATATCGGTGTGAGACTGTGTTACAGCGAGTCCTGGCGAGTCGGCGAAACACGACCTGAGGAAGAGAATCAGGGCCTGTGGAAGCAGCAACGTGCCATGACGGCGGCGCGAATGAGGCTCCATCCAGAAGGCCGTGCTGGAGGGCTAATTGTATACTCAGCGGAGTGTGGAAACGTGGGCGTGTGGGATGTTGATGGGAGTGCTTCTGGTAACGACCGGCAGCCAATGGCAGAGGGAAAAAGGAATCGTGCCCTGGTGTCTGGCAGAGAGTGAACGGTGCCTGGGACGGCTGTTACGGTGCGATCCGCGCACGTTGGGGACGGCAGCGAATGCGCTGCTACGAGCAGAAATACCTAATTTGGGCCGCTGCAGTGAATGGGAGACACGAAGACGGCTTCATTTTTGGCAAAGTAGAGTGGCCTGCGAATGGGATGGTGGTCTGAAGACTGAGGATTAACGACTACTTGATGATGGTGTGCAATGGCGTCTGGCCTGATTTACTACTTGTACCCTTAGGTATAAACAGCGGCGTGGACGTCAACATTGGCAGCAGCTCAATTGAGAGTGTGTTGCTTTTCTGGTCCGGCGCTGGGCCGGATGATGTCAGTTTGGGCGCTGGCGTGCGCGAGTGCGGGTATGACATGCTTGGCATTCATCTCCGAGGCTCAGTTTCCTTCGCATTAGATCAGACACTCATGTATACATATAGTGCCTGTGGATTTCATTCTGATAATATTCTTCTCCTCATGTAACTTGAGCGAGGTCGTCTTGCTGGTCGACTCCTGGCTGGTTCATTGCGCGTAATATCTGCATCGTTCTTTCTGTGCTCGATCAGCTCGCTCTTGCCCCTTATAACCTCGTTCCTTCTATCAAAACACCACTCTGTCCCAAGCAAGTCTGCAATCGGCGCCATCACATCCTTACAGCATCACTCTGTGATGATTGTAATGGCCACTGATGCTTGGATGCACCCGACAGCCACGATCTCGCGTACGCAGTGGTGGGCTCAACGTTTGATGCAATTGGAGACGGGGACACTGCTTGAAGCTGGCATCCCCATCCTTCTGATCTGGTCGAAGAGATTGAGAGAGGCTTCAGATATGTGTCCTCGAACGCCTGCTCTCCACACTCCAGTGCTCAATTGCCCTCACCTTAAACTATCGCGTATTGCCGGAGCGCGGGAATATCGTCACAGCGTCATACACGCGGACCCACTCGTCTCCAGCGTCTCCAGCGTGGAGCTGCATGATTCTGAGTTCGCGATGGCTGAATTATCGTGCCAATCATCACCAACGCCATGCGACACCCTTCTCGAACACTTAAACCTTTCTAAGCTGCTTTACAGATACGACAGGGAGGGTCTCGCCCTACCTACACTTCCTGGTGCTTGGGTGCGGTTCCCGCCCGTTGGCGCTATCGCTTGGCCTCCGGTTTCTCGCCGAAACCTTCTCGGCATTTCCGCGTGCTCTTTTGCTTTGAAAAAAAGTCGAGCGCCAGGTCCTGCACTATCCGTTGGCTCCAATTGTTTCACACCGTCTTGCAATCTCACCACTAACATTGGCTCCGCGCGTCCGTAGACGAAGAACTAGCACTCGGAGCGGACCCTTGCTGCCTGCGCAGAGAGAAAGACCGTTTTGCGTTGGAGTCGTGCACCCCTCATTCAACAGCTCCTCCGAGGTCAAGACGACTGGGTCTCAAGAAGCTGGTCTGCCCCACTTGCTTCCCTCAGAGCTATGATAAAGGGCTAACTATCTCACCATTACTGCGATTGCGAAGGTACCCATGCTGTCGTCGTAGCTTGTACCTTGCCTGCTATCTGATTGCGTGAGGTACATATCTAATCCAGCACTTCCGGTCAACTTTACTTGAAAATTCTCTGTGGCTTCCTCCCTCACCTCTCCCTCACCTCTCAACTCACCTCTCAGCCTCCAACCTCCTCTCCCATCCTATATAACCCCACTCGTCTTACATCTTTCTGTTCTCCCATCTTTCCTTCTTCCTCAATCCTTCATCTGGTTTCAAGTCTTCTTTTCTACTCATCCTTTCTTAGAACAGCCAATTGAGACCTCCAAGCAAGGAGCTATCTCGATTGCTCACTATGGACCCGAAGAACCTTGAAAAAGAGCGTGAGCCGGAAGAGCCTCGCTACCTCGACTTCCCTCACCTTCCAGATGGCACCATGAGGGACGGAGAGCTCGCCTTGAACAAGTACTCATCCACTCTCACCAAGGACCACGACTTTCCGGGCGCACAGGTACTTCACTTCTGTACCTGAATTGCGAGGTTTGAACTGGCCTTACTCATATGTGAAATTATAGGCAATGCTCTACGCGGCCGGCGTCCCGAATAAAAAAGCGATGAAGACTAGTCCACAAGTTGGTGTTGCGAGTGTGTGGTGGGAAGGCAACCCTTGCAAGTGAGTAATAACTTATGGCCTATAACCAAAATTCAGATACTGATAACCATGCAGCATGCACTGTAAGTCGCTCTATCTAGCCGCTATAAACGCCAGCCACTCGTTGATTGAAGAATCAAGCCTTGGGAAGCAATCTATTGACTTTATCTCATAGTGCTTGGTCTGGGGAAGGAGATCAAGAAGCATCTCTTGAACGACGGAATGTTGGCGTGGCAGTACAACACCATTGGTGTTTCGGACGGCATTACTATGGGCGGAGAAGGTGAGATACGATGAGCCGCTTCTAAGCGCCCTCTCAACTTGGAGACGATATAAGATGCTAACAAAGCTAAGGAATGCGATTCTCCCTCCAAACCCGCGAAATCATCGCCGATAGTATCGAGACCGTGACATGCGCCCAACATCACGATGCCTGCATTGCGATTCCCGGTTGTGATAAGAACATGCCAGGCGTCATCATGGCTTTTGCTCGTCATAACCGTCCATCAATCATGGTCTACGGTGGGTCGATCAAGCCTGGCTACAGCGAGACTCTCCGTAAACCAATCAACATTAGCACCTGCTACGAAGCCCACGGAGCATACATCTACGACACGCTGAAGAGCGAGGCCAACGAAAAGCTCACTAAGGATGAGATCTTGGACGATATTGAGCAGCATGCGTGTCCGGGCGCAGGTGCTTGTGGTGGCATGTATACGGCCAATACTATGAGTACTTCAATTGAGGGCATGTAACCCAAATTCCGTGTCCTGTTCTATTATCCTTCTGTCTCCTTGACACTAACTTTGCGAATTTACATTTCTCAATTACTAACACTCCACAGCCATGGGTCTCTCCCTCCCCAACTCCTCCACCACTCCTGCCGAATCCCCCGCCAAAATGCGCGAATGCGCCAAAGCTGCTGCCGCCATAAGGATCTGCATGGAAAAGAACATCACGCCTTCCAAACTCCTCACAAAAGCCTCTTTCGAGAACGCTCTCGTCATGATGATGGTACTCGGGGGTTCTACAAACGCGGTGCTGCATCTCCTAGCTATGGCCGGTAGCGCAGGCGTTCCCCTCACACTCGACGATTTCCAGCGCGTCAGCAATAAAGTCCCGTATCTCGCAAACCTGGCACCTAGCGGGAAACACTATGTTGCAGATCTGTTTGACATTGGTGGCATGCCATCGATCATGAAATTGCTGGTCGCAGCAGGCCTACTCAACGGCGACATCTTGACCGTAACGGGGAAAACGCTCGCCGAGAACATCGAACCCTTTCCGTCTCTCCCTCAAGACCAGACCTTCATTCTCCCTCTCTCCAGCCCCATAAAACCCACAGGCCACATCGAGATCCTCCGCGGAAACCTCGCACCATCCGGCGCAGTCGCCAAAATCACCGGAAAAGAAGGCCTGAAATTCGTGGGCAAAGCCATGGTATTTGACAAAGAAACCCAGCTCTCCGCCGCATTGAACGCAGGTAAGATCCCGCGCGGAGAAAACATCGTCATCGTAGTCCGCTACGAAGGCCCTAAAGGCGGACCCGGAATGCCCGAGCAACTGAAAGCCTCAGCTGCGCTCATGGGCGCGAAACTCTCGAATGTGGCCTTGATTACCGATGGGCGGTACTCGGGTGCAAGTCACGGGTTTATTGTTGGACACATTTGTCCGGAGGCGGCGATTGGGGGGCCGATTGCGGTGGTGAAGGAGGGGGATGTGATTACGATTGATGCGGAGAAGAATCGGATTGATATGGGTGTGTCGGAGGAGGATGTTAAAGAGAGACTGAAGAGTTGGAAACCGCCGAAAATGCCGGTGACCAGGGGCGTGTTGGCGAAGTATGCGAGGTTGGTTGGGGATGCGAGTCATGGGGCTATGACGGATCTATTTTGATCTCTAAGCATCCAAATACATACCCGCCCGTAATACAAAACTTGGGGAGGATGCAATCTGATACGGCATTAACCTGGAAGAGCGCGGGTAGACACGAATGGGCACAGCGATATATAAAAGTTTGGCCGTGATGGATTGATTATATATTTAGACAGGATTTCCTGGCTTTCTTCAGGCAGATGGGAGGTGCAAAAGAGGAGTGCAAAAGTGGGTGTATATGTGTTCCTTTGGGTATAGACGGTGATGGTGATGATGATGCATGGCGAATGGCGAATAGTGTCGGAGATGGCTCCGAGGCGACTTTCTGGATATCTTCGGCGGACCTTCTCTATGGAGGATGACTGACTCGAGACCCTGCCTGGCTTTTGGGGGGCCTCACCAAATCTTCAAAATCTACTCTGCGATTTAGACGCACGTGAGAAAAGGTTTGACAGAATTATTCATCCAGCCTTTGTGGTCTACTTGATAATATTTAGACCTTGATGCACGCGTAACCTGTTTAGAACACAAGGGTATCACACTTGCTTAATGCACAGATTCTGCAATTCAGGCGAAGCCCATTTTCATTTGAAATATCATAGGCTCGCGTCTAGCGTGCAAGAACGCCAAAAGCCGCCAGGAACCCCAGATGAACCAGCCCACCCGATGGAGATGCCGGGTAGTTATGCAGACAGAATCCTCGCACATGCGCACATCTACTCGTCGTCATCGTCCTCCTCGGCCTCGAGCGTGGTCATAGCGATTCGGTCCAAATCCCGCTGGCCGGCCTGTGTGATCCTTCGACCACCCTTGTCCTCGTCCTGCTCCAAGACGCCGATCTTCTCGAGCGCTTGCATTACTTTGCGGTCGACGGAGCCGGAGGCGTCGACGTGGTGGGAGGGTCGGGACCCGCGGTTCTTGGTGGAGCTAAATTTAGACATTGTCAGCTCAATCATCCGGCCACCAGGTTCTCAGTCGGGGAATTGGGAGGGGAAACACGTACCCATGAGCCTTCCGCATGCGTCCTACACCAACCGTCTTGCGCATGTAGACGTGTCGAGCGACGGCAGCAGCGCGGATGTAGAACCAGTCAATGTCCTGGGGAGGGAGCTCTTTGGAGTCTACACATCCAAGTCAGACATGCCAACTCACATCCGGAAATGCTGGTTAATACGTACGCGAAGTCTTGACAGTATCAACCCAGCCTGTAGATAAGGTACGCAGATGGTCAGCAAGCTGAGCGTAGAGTTATCCCCCAGTTACGGGATTCAGGCTTGAATACACCCGCTGGGTTGCTGGTTACGAACCTGGACTGCAAAGAAGTTAGTATAAAAGCTAGGAGAGATTCAGGAGGAGGGCAACGTACATTGGAAGCTTTCCTTGCCGCTTCAAGAAAGCAGCATAGGCATTGATGAACTTTTGCGCCTGCAGAGAATTGTTAATCCTGCCGGGGAGAATTGTACAACTCGGGTCGAGGGAGATCCGGACATACCTCAACGTCCTTGACAGTGACTCCGCCCATTTTTTCAGTATTGTCGAGGGAGGAGGGAGTTGGGAGTAGAGAGGTTGTGGTGTCAATGGTTGAGCTTCGAGGGGAGAAAGGTGCGGCGGGTTTGGCAGATTTCGTGCGCCTCGTTTAGCGAGCGGAGATACATCGGTCCGACATGCCAACCCACCCCATCCCCGCCCTAGCCAAGCGTTTCCCACCCTTACACTACTCACTCTTGTTGCATTACACTTTATCTACAGCAAAAATATCGGGTGATGAACGTGCTCCGAACTCGCGATTTGATATGAAGCACCTATGCGGTGTATCGAGGGTTATTTAATGTCTCGCGAGTTTCCCGTCGGTTCCGGACCAAAGAGACTCTAACATCTCCCGACACTCTCATGAACACTTTTCCCATCATTTGATGCTCTAAAACAGAATACGGGTTATCGGTATATGAACCTCGTGCATGCGCTAAACGCTAAATTGATCGCTTTACCATAATGTAACTTCCAGTTTCGGTAAGAGGGAAGCAGTTTACTCACACGGCTGACGGCCGCCGTCTCATATCATTACAATATAAAGAGGGTCTTGTCCCCGTGAGGGTTTATTCACCTTCAACCTGCAGAGCCAATTTTAAATATGTCTGAAATGGATGGTTTCGAGCTTGTCGTAGCCGGCAAAGTAGATCTCGACGCGATGACGGAGCTGACTATCATAGGTTGGGCCGAGGACCCCATATGGCAAGCTCTCATGAGGAATGTGGCGCGAGAGGATGTTTTCAATCTTCTTGCATCAATCCATAGGACCCGTTTCCCAGAACCCCTCAGTAAGTACTACAAAATTCAAGTGAAAGAAACAAAGTGCGTAACAATGAGCCCTCCCTGTGGAATCTCCCATCATGGTAGCGATGCACTGAAAATGCTGATAGGCGACTGGTCGGCTGGACAAGCTTGTTGTGGCCGAATCCAGACAAACAAGAGGAAGACAAGGAGCCCGAGGTACCGAAGCTCCCTAGCATCAACGACCGGATGGCAACAATCTTCTGTACAAGGCTTATGCCGTCTTCCAAGGAGATAGGCTATGACGATAGGAAACACTTCCGTAAGCTATTCATAACAGACTACGCTGCGTCAATTCTTTGAACAATACTGATTTGATAAGATCGAAGAAGAACCTTCGTCCACCCAGATTACCAGAAATGGGGGTTCGGCACCTGGCTGACCGATTACTGCAACAAGATAGCCGAAGAAGTTCAAGGCGTCACTTTTGTGGGAGCCCGGCCTTCATCCAGACCGTTGTTTGAGAAAGGAGGCTTCAAGATTGTTGCAACGATTGACGTTGACGTGACCGGTGATGGGTCCGAGATGGATGTTCATTACACAATGCGACGGGATCCTCCGACCAAGTGAAGTATTCAGAGACTACCCCTTCTCAATTCGAGTGCTCTGGTACCAATCCGAATAATCCTTCAACAAGTACTGGCTCTTTTGCAACGGTTGCGGCGTTTGACAAATGCTGACCCTTAACGACTCCGCCCCAAGCTTACTAATCACTCAACATTTCAAACGCACAAATCGAGGTATTTAATATAAATGATACCTTGCTCGCATAGCTTATCCTGACAAAATCAACCAATCAATACTCTGCCCTCGCTCCCACATATCCCCCCCCAACCCCCTACGAGGCTGATCGAGCCGTCGTCCAATGATAGGCCAGGCCTCGGAGTAAATATGGATACTATTACTCGGTGTTTATATACACACGTCGGGGTTGCGATACTTTTCATAAAGGCCAATGAGCACCTAATGCGATTTTCACTTTAGATATCTAGCAATATTGCAAAGTTCTTAGCCTTACCTCCCCGGCCGTTAATAGAAGGCGATGGCCAACCCTATCACCGCCCACAACACAATCATTGTCGAATCAACCAAACACTTGAGATACGAGAAAATGGAAGGTGGAGGGTTTCGACTGCTAACCCTGCTTCCTGGGTTACCTGAAGAAGACATATCCTGTCGATTAACGATAGTACCACTACGGGAGGCACCCGCCTATGAGACTCTATCATACGCATGGGGATCTCCAAAGCGTACGCGCAGAATCTCTGTCGATGGTCAAAGACATGACATCACTGAGAATCTCTTTGCTGCATTGCTTCACCTCCGGCCTATGGATCGGGCCCTATGCCTCTGGATTGATGCCATTTGTATTGATCAGCAAAATCTTCATGAACGATCTCGACAAGTGAGCATAATGCGTGACATTTATCGAGGATCCAAGCGAGTCTACGTCTGGTTGGGATTGCCTGACGTTGGCTGGAATTTCTTAGATAAGCATGGATACCAACTTTCACGTTGCAAAGGTAGTTCTTGCGACTTGACTGGGAGGCAGACCACCTCTGAATTTGGCAATGACTCGCATGGTATGACCTTTTAGAGTTGATTTGAAAGGAATTCTAACAAGTCAAGCACAGGTCTCCAGAATGCCGAGGTTCAAGCAACGGAAAGAAATCCATTCAAAGTGATCCAGCATTTCGCGAGCAATAAGCACTTTTACGACTTACCTGGGTTCCACACAAGCGAAAACGGAGAGCATACCTTCACTGACGACGGGAGATATGAAAGAATATATGAAGACCTCATCCAGCTGTTTCGCTCAGCATGGTGGACCCGATTATGGTGTGTCCAAGAAATCTTACTTGCGCCGGATGCTCTTCTCGTCTATGGCCCATGGAGCATTCCGTGGATCAACCTCAAAGAAGCTTCCACTAACCAACGTCGCCATAGCTTGTCTTGCTGCGCTGAAGCACTTACCCAACTTCCGCCGAAATACTGGTTCTTCAGGGATGACGATATTGTTGAACGATCTGTACACACGAAAGCAAGCAACTTCGCGTATTATGATCTCGATCGATTGCTTCGATCATACTGCCATCGGAAATGCCAGGATCCTAGGGACAAGATATACGGCCTACTAGGGCTTGTCGACCCAGCGAAGTATTCGAGTTTGAAACCTGACTACACGAAAGATACACACGAAGTCTACTACGATGCAACAGTGGCTATATACAGCCAAACACCCCTAAGTCTCCGTTTTCTTGCGGGACGAAGCTCCTCCTCGGCCATGGATACTACGCATTTACCTTCGTGGATCCTGGATTTCTCAGAAACGCCAGATATAGAGTCAATATGGTATGCAAAACGCCGAAATGAGCTCTACGACCTCTATCATGCTGCCGCCCAGACAGCTGCGGACGTGAAATTCATGAACAAGACTCAACTCAGGCTCAAAGGCACGCAGATCTCTTCGATCACAGAGATGGGAAGCGTTCGCACAAGTGTGTATTACTCAGACTCCGTTGGCATGGTCAAAACCTGGTCTAAATTCGTAGGCCTGGATTTTTGGAAACTCTCCGATAATACGCGACATTCCTCCCTTCAGGAGCAGTTCTGGCGCACGCTAATTGCGGATGTCATGCTAGACTCGCCCGTAGAATGGCGTTGGCGAAGAGCTTCCAACGAAGACATAGATACCTATATCCAAGCTATGGCGAACTTCTTCCAGCACGAGCCGCAAAAAGGCCTAACATTGAATCTCAATCTAACAAAGACTATGGCCATTGTGGCTTTTGGGAGAGCGCTCTTCATCACGGATGATAAAAATCTGGGACTCTGCTATTCTAGCACAGAAGTTGGGGATGAGATTTGGGTTCTTCATGGTAGTAATGTACCATTTATACTGCGTCCTCAATCTGAGAGGGGAGTGTTTCGTCTTATTGGAGATTGCTATTTAGATGGCTTCATGGATGGGCAAGCCTTCGCAGATCCAGCTTATGAGATTGAAGATATTCTCCTGCAATGAGCGTTCCGAGATGGATCTAAATCCAGACATGGAACGGCATCCTTCTAGGATCCTCCCTGATTCTAGCAAGAAGTTCAACCAATCCAAGCCATCCTATTTATATTCCAAAGCATGCGACAACGCATTATCCAACCCGGACTCACTATATTACATAAATTGTCACCTTCTCATTTTCAGTCTTCCAATCTTTATCCCTCCACTTATATATATCCGCCAGCCCGACCCGCATGTACAAAGGCTCCGTATTCTCCTTCAGCTTTCTCAACACCATGGCAACCCCCAAGCGAGGAGACCAATCATATTCACCCTCCATCTTCATGGGAAAGAGGAAATAATCGAAGTTTTCGCTGCGCCATTCAACCCCGCCAATCCCGGCATCGAGATATAGCCACGCGGAGAAAATATTTGCTTGTTCTGTTGAGACCACGATCAAATGGTCCTCGTCATTATAGCCCGGCCAGATTGAAGCCTTGACTATGCAATGGTCTGATATATGCTCGACGGTCGCAGGGAGAACGTATCCTTTGAGCTCTAGCTTGGCTTCTGCAACAGGACCGTATGGATTCGACGCCCCCTCCATTGTCACATCCACGACGTGCCAATCAACAGGCGTCGCCGAACCTCTCGTTGACGCCCACCTCACCGGCGCGAGTACCGAAGCCCAAGACCAAGATGGCGCGTATGTATTTGGCAAGCGTTTCGACGCTGTCGAATGATCGCGGATCCGCACCGCGATGGTTTTTTGCAGCTCACCAACACCAGGGCTTCTTGGATCGTCGATCTCACTAACTGTAGCAATAACCCCCGGATTTGATCCCCCGCGCGCATTGTACCACAGCAAATCCTGCGGCAACCGCGTCCGCCACATCCCGGCAATATAATCTGTTTCTGCAGAACTTGACACGCGACTAACAACACCCGCCAACGCAGGTAGTCTGTCTTTCCCATACGTCAACTCACACTCCGTATAATTTGCAACAAACGACGTCCAAGATACGTGATCCTCTGGATCAGAAAGCACGTATGCGAAGAGCTTTTTCGGAGATGTTTTGTTGTGGAAGGAGGCAGATGGATGGCCGCATTGGCAGACGGAAGATTCCAGGCATTCCCAGAGGAGCTCGGCATTCCCGAAACGGATTATTCGCGTCGAGAGGACAAGTTCTTGCAGTACCCAGGCGCGGGTGTGTAGTTCGCTGTAGTTTTCGGTCGCATAGCATGTGTTGAGGATTTTTGCTGTGTCGTGCGTGCTGTTCTTAGACTTGGTCTCGGTGTCGGTATTATTACCGTCAGTTGAAGTGAATTTTATCGATACCATACTGTTCGATTCCTGGTTTTGATGGCCTCCAAGTTCTAATTTGGTCAAATCGGTAGCCTTGGTGATAAAAAGCCCGCAATGTGAATGCGACGCGGCATCCGCCGCAAGTGTAATATAAGCGTTTGAATACACATCCGCCATTCGGCTAGCCTCATGCTCCCAATCTTCCTCATCACCTTGGGTAATACACAAAGAGTCGATCCAGAGGTACTGCAATCCAAGCCCTCGTACAACCTCGATGGCCTCGCGGAATGTTTTGGGGAACCTGTTTAGAGGGATCGAGGAACAATGCGCTTTGAAATTCTTCCGCGTAGTGACGAGCCTTTTAAATCCAAGCGTTGGTGGTCCCCAGCGATGACTGAGTGTTGCATACCGTCCAATTTCCTTTTGACGAGAGACATAGAGGCGTGGCGCACGGGATGAAGACCCGACATCTATTACGCGGGTGGGCAAGGGGCGGTCGAGAGAAGATCCGCATTTAGAGTGGTGTGTGTGACATTCCTCAAGCCATGTTTTGATGCGTTGAATCGAGTTCTGGAGCCCGGGAAGATCAGGTTCAAACGCCGCGTCTGCTACGTGAATTGCTTTCCAAGGCGTTCCTATTCACCAAAAACGCGTTAAAACCTGCGGGGAGCCCCTTGGAAAAGGGATTCTACCTTGAAGGTGCACCTCGATTTCCGTAATATCTGAGGGGAATTGAATGGTGATTTGAAGTGGATCGTTTCGTTGCACTTGGATTGCTTCTATACTTCTACGTTGGCTATTTGCGATTTGAACGGCTTTGAAGATGATCTGACATCCTGTGCACGCTTTTTGGGAAGACTGGAGGAGAACTGGATCTATGCATAGTGCTGCGGATGTATCATCAGCAGTAACATTCAAATCCTGGCAAAGGGTGCAGGGAGTTGAAGAATTCCGCCCGCGCGATCGCCGTCTAAAACGACCGATTAAAGAGGATTTAAGAGTCGACATACTTAAGTGGCAGTTTAGAGTAGGAGGTGGCCGAAGGCAGCAGTGAAGGCTGAAAGCTGACAAACCCCAGCCTTTCTAGCGCGCTATTGGCTGGACGGTCAAAGTCACGTGAAACGGACAGATAGCACTTTGCGTGTTCACACATACAGTGAAATATGAATAAAGTAGTATTGATCTCTTAAACGAATTGCTATAACTCGATGGATGACTTGCAGGAACTGATTTACGTCCTGAAACACTGAAATTGAACGACGATAACATTTGTCTTCCCACTTTCCTTAATCCACTCATAGCATTTGCAACCCGAAAGCTCTGGATCCGAATCCTACCTCATGTGAAATATAATATAGCATGTTTCAGGGTAGAAGCCTGCAGACTATTGCCATCTCCCCCAACCCCAGCAAGAGCCTCAATCGCTCGAATCCTCCCGAATAACTTCCCGTAAGAGTCCTGAATACCCCACCCTACCACTTACTCCAACCAAGCCTGCAATCCACCCAGCACCAAGCCAGCAAGCGTGACCACCCACCCAGCAACCCCAAAAGCGCCCTGCACATCCCCCAACCTCACCGTCCACACAATCCCAAAAACTGCGCTGCCAACCCCAAACCCCATAAACATCACCGCCCACACCTTTTGAGCTATAAACCCTTCGACCAAGTTGAGGCCCCATCCCATTCCGGATTCGAGTCGTTCTCGTCGTTTGGGCGAGCGTTGGTACGTGATGAGCTCGTTGTCGTAGTCGGTTGGGTGACGGAAGAGGTGCAGGAGGTAGGTGGATCCAACGGGGGGCATGAGATCAATGGGCTCGAAGGAGTAAGGGTGTGTGGAGGGGAATTTTGATTCGGATGTGGATTCGGATGTGGATGCAGATGTGGATGATGTGATGGAGGTGGCGGTGGTGGATGAGGTTGGTGGCATGGAAGGGCTAGCGCGAATGTCGGCAAAGCGGTTACGGTGGACTTCGAACTTGGAAGGGGTTAGTAAATAGGCATTGATACAGGGGATTGTAATACAAGGGCTCTAAGAATAGCACGAGAGATGTATTGAATGGGTGTCGCGATCGGAGACAAGGGAATATGGGGGGTGGAAGACGTGGATGAAGGGAAAGAGTGTGGTCTCGAAGTGTCAATATTCAATCTCTCAAAGGAAGGCGCGAACGCTAAGTCGACAGCCACGAGAGATGCCGAAGGTAAAGCAGTTTTTAAGAAAGCTGTACATACCTGCACAAACTCGATCGTAGTTAGCCCCCTTAACTTCGCCCACTTCAACCACTTATTATTCAAATGTTCATAATGTGCCCTGAGGGCCAACGCTAGGTCCTTATCGCTCGTTATCTTCCCTTTGTTGACATCAATGTGGACGATCTTGGGGGTGAAGCGCCCCTCGTTTGCGCAAGTTAGTAGCCACTGTTCCTCATGATACGAAGGAATCCGCACACTAAACGGATTAGTGCTGCGGAGGCGGGTAGGGCTGTATTTTGAGGACTCTTTGCCTTTACCCCAAGATGAGGGTCCGCCGTATGTGGATGATGGAGTGGCGAGCGTGGATGCTGTACTGACGGAGCTGAAGACCGAGGACATGGTTGAGGAAGTGCTGGTTCTACCGGCTGGACTAGTAGGGGTGTGGGCTCTTGGGCGGTTGAGGTAGGCTTCGAGAAGGCGGGCGGCACCGCGACGACGTTCGATGAAATCGTCGTACAACTGTTCACCGCAAGACTAGGAGGAATCAGAACATTGAAGACTGGATTGTATAAAAAGGAGGCAGCTTACACATGTCCAACGGACTCTAACGTGGCCCGGAGGTACTGGAGGTTCTCCACCATACCTTTCTCGTAACGCATGCAGCCCTTCAAACGCTCTATCTGAAAGTGCGCTCAGCGCTAGACCCAAGAAGGTCAGAAAGGGATTCTTCGTATTGACGGGTGCTGAGCGAATCTCAAGATTTGGCGGAAATGGAATTTCGCCGACGCTATCCATATCAATCGGTTCTTCGATGCGCGGTACCGACATTATTGGTGTTGGATTATGTATATGGCTTGCATCATCTGCATTGTTCTCAAAGGCCCTCTCTAAAGCGTTTCGGAGTTCCTCGGACGCATCTACTTCCGACCAAGCTGGAGAAGGGATGTTCTGATGTTCCTCCGCGAAGTGAACTGATGAACTGGATGATGATGGTTGATGAATGCGGGGAGAGCGTTTGCGTCGGAGTATAGGCGAGTTGTTCGCAGATTTTGTACGGGGGACGTTTGTTTCCAGCCTTAACCGAGCCTTCTGCTTAGCAGATGTGGGCGCTTCCTCTACGGAGGACCGGCGAGCTATTCTGTCCTTCTTGCCTAGCCTGTCTCTGGCGGTGTGATGTAAAGCACCAGAATCTTGAGATACGAACTCTTCTAGTAGCTCGGTTTGGCTTCGGCGCGGCCTGTGTCGAAGAGCTTGGGTAACAGGGGCGGGCGGGAGTAGCACGGAACTGCCCGAGGCAAATGTGGTATTAGCATCGTGAGGAGAGCGACGTTTGAACGACTTCTTGGCGTCGGATCTGTTTAAATTGAGGCGTGCTGATTTCCCAGCTCCAGTGCGTCCCTTGACCGCTCTCCGTACAGGACCAACGACCGAAAGACCACGAGTAGGCGTCTTAACAATGCTCGATACTGAAGTTGTCCGGGTAGGAAATCTGGAGCTACTCGTAGAAAACGGCTCTAAGTCTGTCGGATCATCGTCTATTCGCTCCGCCAAGGATCTGATTTCTGGGATCAAGGTATCAGCATCGCTTAAGCCTTCCTCTGAGATGGAGTTCCGTTGGCGGTTGTCCGTCGTTGTTTGACTAAGCCACCGGGGAATTGAGGACATACGACCATCAGGTACAGGAGAATCCAGCGGTGGTGTCTGCGATAGTCTTATGCCGGGTTCGCTTGAGGTTCCAATCTCAAATACAGTTGGGTGGTGGTTGATTGGGGTTGTCTGGTCGATGGGTGACACGCTGGGGATCTCAGTAGCGTCTAATTCGACCCGCGGGGTTGAGTCCAGCTCAGCGAGCGCAGGGTCATTGCCTGAAGTTTGTCCCAGGTGTACCTCCGCAACCTCATTAGTCTCAGGACTCGATCCCTTCAGCAGCCGAACAACAAACCCCCTCCCGCTCTTCTTTATCCTCGCCTTGATATCCGCTAGCCTTCGCGATTGAGAATGGGAGGACGCAGTCGAAGCGCTCCGCTCAAATGTGACATTCCAATCCGGCACGACCTTTTGCAGGAAGTCAGGCGGTATGGCATCCAAATCTGACCAACCTTGCGGGTCTTGTTGAGGGCTGGTTGGGGGACTCGACTTCTGCGTTTGATAGAGCGGGGAGACATCATAGCCTAAACTGGGAAAGGCTTGAAGATTGGCGAACAGCTTCTTTGACGCCGCGGGCTCCGGCGGGCTCCCGTCCGCCTTCTGGTGCTCGGGGTCGATGTTGACGACCAATTGGAATTGGCCAGGGTTGCTCTTCTCCTCTTGCAGGGTTAACGTGAAGGGGACGGACTGAGTCTTCTCGTATTGTGGGAGCGGTGTTGAGCGCCCCTCGGGTTGCAATTGGAGGTTCGCGATGTCTTTGGGGTTGGAAGAGCGCGCAAGGAGGCGTCGGGAGGGCTGCAGTGCTCGCGGGGACGCCTATTAGAAGGAAGAATGTCAGTCATTGGCCTGTCGGTTGTTCCACAAGGAGCTAAGGAGCCCTGCGCTGCTTTGGTTGACACTATTCAAGGCGGCTGTTGCGAGAGAGGGGCCACTCACCATTTTCGCATGTTTAAAGCCCAACGTGGCATTCGATGGAAGTGCCTGAGCGGTGGGGAACTAGCATGTGCAGCCATCTTGCTTTTATCGATCAGGCTGCAGTCAGCTGTGTGAATGATGTGCAGCATGAGCGCGAGGCGTTCCCGAGCACTGCCACAGAACCTATGCGGGCGCAGGCGTGCCGTGGCTGCAGCAGCCTTCATTCCTCTCATCTTGATTGGCCCCTTGTCGCTGGACTGGTGCACCTCCTTCGCTTTCGTCACACATCTTGCAGCTGGCAAACCTTCGAGGACTGTTCAGTTACACTTGAAAACTTGGGGTTATATAAATTGCTGTCTTTTGAAGCTAGCTAGACCTATGAAGCGCAGCACCTCTTTGCATTCTACCGCCTTCGGTTCTCAGCTTCAGGGCACACACACCCCACAAGCACTGGTAAGCACTGACACGCTGATAGAGAAACAAGATTTAGAGTCCGAACTGCTAGACAGAATCCTGCAGTTCTTAAATAAGTCCTCTGGTTCTAGACACCGGCCAACAGATTGATGTCTCCCTGTCAATGTTTGGCACAGGGCGCCAATGATCTGTGACAGGGCTTCAACCTAACTATAACCCAACACCCTCAGCCTCAACTCCTTCCCATCCTGCACTCAATTCCATGCTCTTATACCTAGGCAGTCTTGGAAGGGCTTTAAGCCTCGCTGCCCCAATTCCCCCCCCTGCAAGCACCATACCCGCTCCCTCTGGGCAGTCGGTCGTCCTCTCGCCACGGGACCAAGCCGGAAGAATTCCCAACCACTTTGGCTTAGACTTCGGTGTATTATTCCCTCCTCTCTCTGCAATCCGAGCCCTTGGAGTCGCCCACAATTCTTCCGATGCTAGATTCCCCCGCAATATCGTTCCTCCAAACACACGACCGTTCCTGGCTAGCGGACCTGGATATACCCGGTTTGTATGTAGCACATGAAGGTATAATATGCAGGCCTTCTCGGCCTCACTTTCAATCAATTTCTTTCATATGAGAGTCGAGGGTTTTCTTCACGAGAATAACTGGTCATAATATTGGCGTGCGATCAAGGCTCGATATCCAACTGACTGATGCTCTGAAGCACTGACGAAGAACACAAAAAACCAATTGATCAGGCACAAAGGTAGCATCGGAGAGATCAACAGACCGCAGATATAGAGCATCGGAGTCTCTTCCCCCAAAAAGTTTGGCATCTTCACAATGAAACTCCTGAGCACTCTCTTTCCCTTCTTCTCCCTCGCGCTTGCTCGACCAAAAGCAGCGCCATCCACCTTCTCCGGCGTCGTAGTTTACACTCCTCCATCCAATTACACCGATCCCCGCGTCCTCTACGCTCGAACAGCTCAACTCCCGGACGGCGACATCCTCGCAACATGGGAAAACTACAGTCCCGAACCACCGCCCGTATACTTCCCCATCTACCGTTCCTCTGATGGTGGATATACCTGGAAAGAGCTATCACGGGTACAAGATCAAGTCAATGGCTGGGGATTGCGATACCAGCCATTCCTATACATCTTGCCTGAGGACATGGGCGACTATCCCTCCGGCACTGTCCTACTCGCTGGCTCATCCATCCCAACCGATCTCTCGCGCACCCAAATCGATCTCTACGCCTCGCGCGACAAAGGCGCAACCTGGAAATTCGTTTCGCACATTGCGGCCGGCGGCCGCGCGGTTCCCAACAATGGCCTCACGCCTGTCTGGGAGCCATTTCTCATGTACTACCAGAAAACGTTGATATGCTACTACTCCGACCAACGTGATAACGCAACCCACGGCCAGAAAATGGTGCATCAAACCACCAAGGACATGCGCACGTGGGGCGCTGTCATCGACGACGTTGCGTATCCAAAGTATACGGATCGACCAGGCATGCCGACAGTCGCGCAACTGCCGAACGAGAAATACATCATGGCGTATGAATACGGCGGCGGGCCAGCAATCAAATCGAGCTACCAGTTCCCCGTGTACTACAAAATCGTCTCCGATCCCGAGAAATTCGGCCCTGCGACTGGGATCTCGCTGAAGGCAACCGATGGCACGATCCCCACCGGCTCGCCGTACATAGTTTGGAGTCCGGTTGGTGGCAAGAATGGGACGTTGATTGTGTCGAGTGGATCGCAATCGCAAGTGTTTGTTAACACGGGATTAGGGGAAGGAGCGTGGAGGAAGGTATCGACGCCAGAGGGGGTGTCGTATACGCGACATTTAAAGGTTTTGGGTGATGGGAGTAAGCTGCTGATTATGGGTGGTGGGCATTTGCCGCCGAGTACGACGAATAAGGTTACTGTGAGTGCTATGGATATCTCGAAGCTGTAGATAAGCTTGACTTTCTGGAAATGGTCACATACGAGGTTGAAGACCCTCTGTAATACATAAGAGCAACCCATCTAGGTTTCATGGAAACCTAATTTCCACTTGCCGCTTCAGCCGTTTTCCATTTGAATTCTGATAGACTGATAGGTAAGATGCAAACGTACTAGATCTGTAAGGAGAAGCTGAAAGGCTTCTCGTTTGACGGTCATGCAAGGAATCTGTACCACGTTCGTACTTAGGTCGTGCTACCATGCACCGCACCAAGCAGAAGCGAAATGCTCCGCATGAGCGCAGGATATCGCGTGTTTAACGCAAGTGTCAGACATCGGCCCTGGAGCTGGTATCGACAGTACTCAGCGCATATTGGCTGACCCGACTAACATAAACGGTAACTACTGCGCGGAATGTGACATAATAGCCATGGCTATCGTTTCGCATCAGAGTGGCCGATCTCTCAATCGTTAAAGGCTAATTCGCATAGGAGATGCTTTCAAGATGAATGAGATAAGGTTGATGGTGTTGAAGATCTGATCGAGATGGGATCTATTATATCTCGTGACTTCGTCCCACTGTGTGTGAGCTAGCCTGATTCGTCATGGTGTCGGACGTGGTTCCTGGAATGGTACCTTTTCCTTCCACGCCGCCTTCAAGTGGGTTCTGTGTATCCACCTTGCCATCCCCGACATGTCCCACGCTTCACGACATCGCGTTTGTCATGTCCCACGACTTCTTCTGACTTGCAGGACGGACGTTGACATAAGGAATCGGCGAAGGAGGGCCAAGACGGGCGATAGGCGCCAAGCCGTCGACGATGAATTGGTGCGAGCTGTGCCAGAGCTTCCGTCGCGCCTTGCTTCCATCCGCGAACCTCCGCATCAGTGATACCGGGAAATCTAAGCGAATCCAGATATATGTGCTGGTTCGACAGAGCACCGTCAGTTGGCGAACAGCAGCGCAAGGCTTTCGCAGAAGATCAAGAAGATCAAGAAGATCAAGAAGATCAAAAAAGAGCTAATGCATTCATTGTCGACAATTGGCCCATGGTGGCTTTGTTTTACCGAGGACGGGTCGAGCTTCTAAACTGAGCTTGAGATCAAACAAGCTTTTTTAGGGTAGTTTGCCGGAGTTGATAGGCGCATGCGACACATTCCTTCAAGGTCACAATGCTCTTCCTGCCCTCATTGGTGGCTCGTGACACCTTATCTGCACACACGGCGGGCTGCGTAATTCACGGCCGGAGACCTGCGCATCCTTCAACACGGGCAGAAAAGCTCTTCCCTAGACTCTATTCGAATCCAGCGAAAGAATGTAACCTCTCTGTGCACAGAGTAATATCTGACCGAGTTCCTGGGCCGGAATTTGCGTAGCCGTACATTAGGGGCGCAAGAATGGAGAAAAGATACGGAATGCACCAATCTCCCAGTACGGCAATATGTAGGACCTTGCCGCCCCCCCCGTGACAAACGCACCTTGCCGTGCATTCGTCCCGGGATTCGTCCTGGAGGTGGCATTGACAGAAGTCGGCCGATCCCGTTTGGAGACTTTCGGCGCCGCTCGAAACACGAGTGGCCAAAGGCGACGGCCGGGTTTAGCTTGCAAACACCCTCCACATGTGATACTGCTTCGGGCTAGGCTTATCAGGGAAGCATGCGGGCTAGGTCTGGGATGTTCATGTCGGTGGTTTGAGTTCTGGAAGCGAATTTAGAAGTTTGGGGTATAACTACCCAGGCCCTTGGAACCATGTCCGGAACGACCTCAGCTCATCGCCAGACGTCGCCACGAGGGATTGACTCTGCAAGCACCTCTTCTCTCACCGCAGTTGCATTCTTGGGCCATTGACAGCAGCGCGCCGTCATAGAAGCTGATGATAGCTTCGAGCTGACCGCATTACCCCCACTCGGAGAACAAACTAGCCTTACGCAGCTCCAACCTCAATTCCTCGGATTTGACGATGTCTTTCGAAAAGTATGGACAGGATGTGGAGAAGGATGCGGCAAGGGCGGGCTCTTTTGCCGACGAGACAGGTGCCGTGCCCGGTGAAAGCTTCGAGTATGGCAATAGCACGTATGCGAAACTTCAGCGGTTAGCCGGAAAATTTAAGGTTGAGCAGAGAGGCATTGAGAGGGTGCCAGAGAACGAGAGATATGACACATCCCTGTTAAATGTTGGAACTATGGTAAGCCAGATCATCTTGAACGCGATTTTGAAAGCTAACTTGAGCTGTAGTGGCTTTCCGCCAACATGGTCGTTTCGTCCTTTGCTATCGGTTTACTCGCGCAGAAGCTCTTCTTACTTGGATTCGTTGATGCCATCCTGGTGTGCCTGTTCTTCAACTTGATCGGTGTTGTCCCTGTTTGCTACTTCTCCACCTTTGGACCTCGATTTGGACTTCGCCAGATGGTGCTCTCGCGATATTGGTTTGGATGGCATGGTGTGAAACTCAGTAAGCCTACCTATCGTTACCTAAGATCCGCATTCAAGCTAACAACCTGGAACAGTCGCTGTCTTCAACATTCTCGCGTGTATTGGCTGGTCCTCTGTGAACTGCATTGTTGGCGCCGAGCTCATCCACGCCGTAAACCACGATGTCCCAGGCTACGCAGGTATCATCATAATTGCAATATGCACTCTCTTTGTGACATTCTTTGGCTACAAGGTCGTGCATGCGTACGAATTCTGGTCCTGGATCCCGACATTCATTGTCTTCTTGATCATTCTCGGAGAATTTGCCCACTCCGGCGACTTCGTCAAGCTTCCCATGGGGGTTGGCACCTCTGAATTAGGATCCGTTCTTTCTTTCGGAAGCGTCATCTACGGCTTTGCTACTGGCTGGACCAGCTACGGCGCGGATTATACAGTCTATCAGCCTGTCAACCAGTCCCGATGGAAGGTCTTCCTCGCTGTCTGGCTTGGCCTTATCATCCCGCTGCTCTTTACCGAGTTCCTTGGTATCGCAATAATGACCGCCACCACCATTAATGATGGCAACAACCGTTACAGTGATGGCTACAAGGATTCCGGAACCGGTGGGCTTCTCGCGGCGGTCCTTGTCCATCCGCTTGGAGGATTCGGCAAATTCTGCCTCATTATCCTCGCGCTTAGCATCATTGCGAATAATTGCCCAAACATCTACTCTGTCAGTTTGACGATGCAAGTTCTTGGCCGCTGGACGCAGCGTGTTCCGCGATTCGTATGGACTGCAATCGGAACCGGCGTGTACATCGCCATTGCCATTCCAGGATACGATCATTTCGAGGCTGTGCTTGAGAACTTTATGAACTTCATTGGTCAGCTCAACAACCCCCTTTCATACTCTCCAATTCTATACTAATTCATGTATCTAGGCTACTGGCTTGCCATCTACGAAGGTATATGCTTCTCTGAACACTTCCTCTACCGCCGCAGCATGAACGCATATGACCCCGCGCACTACGACCAACCAAGAAAACTCCCTCCCGGTATCGCTGCCGTCTTTGCTTTCTGCTGCGGTATCGCTGGAATGATTGTTGGCATGAGCCAGGTTTGGTATGTGGGTCCTATTGCGCTTCATGCGGGTATGGCGCCATTTGGCGGAGATGTCGGTTTCGAGCTTGGGTTTGCGTTTGCGTTCACGAGTTATGCGATTACAAGGCACTTTGAGTTGAAGTACTTTGGGAGGTAGGGGAACGTGAATAGAGAGGACAGAAAACGTTATGGCTTGAGCTGAGAAAATAGATTGAATAGAATGGTAACTTAGCTGGCAAAATTCTCTTGGAGGTGTCGTGAAAGCTCAAGCAACGCCTCGGGTACGAATTTCTCCAGTATTCAACTTTTCTATTCTTCAATCCCTTTAACCCTTCAGCATATGCGCCTTCTTCCTCACCGATGCAAACGCTAATTCCTTCTACAAAAATCCCTCAAAACTTACTACCCCAGTCTCCCTTCACCTGGTCACACCGCTCCTTCTCCGGATCCGCTTTCACAAGCCGCGCCTTTCCAGACGAGCCGCTAGGCGGTATCATGAGCGGGAATCTGTTTTCTGACTAACTAATTGCTGCTTCATGGCCTCTCCTGAGAGACCTATATAAACCCCCTCCTTGGAGCAATTTCTCTTTTCTTTTTCACTCTACTCTCCCTCTTCTCAAGTTACCACCAAAAAAACATTCGGGTTGGTCATTTTTATGGCTCCAGTCTGCCGCTGGCCTGTTTGTTGGTCACTGTGCCCGTGTGGCTTTGCACAGGCCGGCCGCCCGGGCAGGTTAAGCCAGACAGCCCATTAAATCAGGTCAAAGTGCTGGATTCCGGCATTTTGATCTTGATGCTAGTGAACTAGATCTCCTCTCAAAGCCTCGTTGCGTCCTTTGCATATTCCCCTCTACGGAGAAATGCACGAACGGCACACATCGGATGGCTCCGGGGAGAGAGCCATGTTTCAGGACTTGTGTGGAGGGTGGTGGGAATGCATATGCTTTCCAATGAATCTCGTGCCTTGCGTGCGAGATCGTAGGAGAGCCATAATGGAACATGTGTTCTTACCGCATCATGGTGTGACAATTTTGATGTTTCATGTCTTTATGTTGGGCTTGGGAAATTGCCTAGCGCAAGTGTACAGGGATGGATCTACGACCTGATCCGAGATTCTAAAAACTGAGACAGAAAAATCGTATGGTATCTATGTCGCCTTAAATGGTTTTCTACGAGGCGTTTTATAATTGCATACGGTTCTTAGCGATGCATAGTGTGATAGAGGTCAGAAGCCGTCAGGATGTTAGGATGGATGTTTGCTTGAACGCTCCCTCCCTCAGTTGTCGGACTGCGCACATTTTAACATGTATCTTATTTAAATTGAGAGGTAGCATCATCACAGATAGAGAAAATAGAGTAAAGTTTTGGAAATTCAATGTCTCAGAAACCTATAGGTCGTACAATCAGAACAACAAGATCCCACCCTTCTGAAGCGGTGATCAGTGCTTCCAACAGGATGTACTCCGTACCGTACCGCACCGCCCTAGGGAGGTCAGTTACGGAGATCATATAGAAGCACATACGTATGGTCACCAACCAAAGGCTGTATAATACGTTTCTGTAACCTTAACTAGTAAAATTAGAGAATTACGCAGCGCAAAAGTATAGTCGTAGGACGAATTTGAATCGTTACGGTTACTGATTGTAATATCCCTTGGCTTCTTCTTGGCAGTATAAACGCACTAACAATCTGAGAAGTTACGAGACCTCAAACTCTGAGTCGAATCGTGTACGATACGATGGGTACGTTGCCGTATAGCCGTACTCTCGGCCGTACTCAGCGTGTTAAAGTACGTACGGAAAGACCAACTCACCAGCTACGTACGTACGGCTTACCAATACGTACAACCGTACTTCTACGGACTGTACTACGCCCAATTGGAGGCGCTAGCTATGATCCCTTCCACAAACCTCATAACCAGCGTCTATCCCCTCAGGAGGTTCTCTTGGATGCAATCTAGATTCTAGCTTGAAGTTGACAAAGCCATTGTGAAGAGGGGATAGGCACATCTATGCCCTTAAAGCCTTGAACATCATCTTTTCTGCATCAATTAATTATCGCCATCTGTACACCGGGTGAACGCCTGATGCTTCACTTTTCCTCCACATGAAGACTGCTTTTATAGCGGCTTTGATGCAAGAGTGCCTTTAAAGTGAGAGACACCAGATCACTCTTCGCGCCACTTGGACGAGAGCTGTCTTCGAAACTACGGATCTCTATATAATTACCTCTTGGAGTCGGAATCGAAATTGGAGGTTCAGTCTGGGTGTGCCTAGATCTATACGAACATCAGTTAGAATGGCGAAGAATACGAAACTCGAAACTCGATAACGAAAAGTGACCCCATCCGTTCAACCCTTAACGTTAATTTATTCTAAACCATGGCGGCATATCAAGGCTCGAAACACGCAGGTCAAGCCACTGAAAAGGCCAAGACATTGGCCAGTTGCAACGCACCTCCGCGCCTATTTAATGACCTTTTTAAACGCGGTTTTCCATGCAAAGACTCTCTAGTCGATGCAACGCTCGCTGCGTCTCTCACGAAGGTTGTAAACGAAGGATCCAACAATCCCATGCCAGCTGGCATACAGTTCCCCGACCCGAATGGGTTCTCCAATGATCTAGGTGATGAAGGTGTTCTCGCTAGTTTTGTACAAAGATAAGCGCCTTCTGTTTGAGGTGGAGCTATTCCTTGGAATCCTAAGATCGAATGTATAAAGGCTAGATACTTGAAACTATGGCTGGAGAATGTATTGGAGTGTTATAGGATTATATTCTTAGGAAAGAGAGGGAATAAGTTCCACTAGACCTGGCGCATCGAGCCAAAATAAGCCACTTCTTTGGATTTAGAGTGCGGAATGTGCCAGTGGAGCGTATTGGAGACAAATATGATGGCAAGATGTGAGGCGATATACAAAATCTGTGGGCTATGGGAGTGGTTCACAGGATATAGCAATTTAGTGTTGGTCAAAGAGGTGCCGCTGACAAGCGGAGGACAAAATTGAATGAGAGTAGACGACGCAATGCGACGAAACCAGTTGAAGGCTATACAAACCCCTTAACCACTAAGCCTCTCTTACGAACTTCTCAAAGTCCCGCTTCACAACATGCGTGTTTGATATACGGTAGTCGAGAACTTTCAACCTGAAGCCCGACGAGGTTGGTGTAGTCCTCTCATGGTTCTCTGTAACCGATTTTCATTGCCGGCTCTCAGTGACGCTCGGATGAGGACGAGCTCCGAGCGCGATCTCCGCGAAAGAGACGAAAAGTGTGTACTACGCTCGAGACTCCCATGATCGTAATCAATGCCTACAGCCTCTCTACTGTAGACGACCGGCTTGAACGTTCCGAATTGCGCTAACTATGATTAGTAAGACTTTGGAGTAAAGGTTCTACATGACAGCGAGTTCTCGAATTTCGCAACTTCTTCTCTTCATGCAATTGTACGCACACAGCCCTTTCCCTGGTTGTGCCCAAAGCACGCAGCACGCAATAAAAGGTATGCCATTCCTCTCCCTGAAAACGATACCGACACTATATCGTGTTCTTACACAAAACACCCAAATCTTCTTCTTCAAATTACCTTGGCCGTTCCTTCCGCCCACTTCTCCTCATTGCTTATAATAGCAGTACAGGCCATTTTGCCTCGCCGCCTCGTAAAGTGGTCTTGGCCGATTTATCCGCACGTGTAATATACATGTTGAATAATCTCAATCTTGCATTCGGCTTCTCTTTTCGGGTTTGTGGGGTAAGCCCCGGTCTACGCATAGTAGTGGCGAATCAAACTCAACGAAGAAGATGCCATGCGCGTGGTTCTGTGCAACATGTCTCAACGTCAGGTTTTCCGAAGATTCTTGAACGCCCAAAGATACGTCGACAGTACTTGCACATGGTGCCTCCGCGATACCCATACCTCTTTAGGTTAGCAATGAAAGAAAAGGAAGACGGTAGTGGCGCCGCAGATTGACAGCTGGCGTACTCAGGAGTTCAAACTTCGCGTTTCACCCGTCACAACGCGCAGAAAGCAACCTCTTCACCACCCAACCTCTCCGATCCCGGGTGGTTCGATCGCGACCCTTTAACGCCGTTCAAGTATTGCTGACGAGGCAAAGTTTCCAGGATCAAAATTAGTCCTCGTCATCACCTTCAAATTTCCCCCCTCTCCCCAACGCTCCCCTCACCGTCTCTCCAACTACCGAACCCGTACCAACCCCAATCTCCATAGGTCCGGCTAATCTTCCAAATTTCTCGTCCCCCTTCCAAAACGACCATTTATCCAGTCAAGCTTTTTCTTGTGTGAGGCCGTTGCCCCAGTGTGTACGAACAAGCTCAAACAGGCCTGTTCCCCGTCGCCAAGACCCCGCATGATGCCCCCAATCTATCAATGTTAATCAACGCGCGGTACGTGCTTCTTGGCCTCATAATTACAGCCTATCAGAATGGTCGCGATTATAATTCTCATCTATGTATACAGAAAGTGACTATATGTTCTCTGGAGAGACCACACAGAGACCTTGCAGGAATTCTTCAGCAAAAAAGAACAGTGGGCCAGGACCCGTCTATCCAGACTGCGTTCTGTCGGTAATCTGCCCCCCAAGTCCCGAACGCGGAGTGCAGTATGGGGAATATAATAAGCACGCAGTTCGTTTCTCTCCAAGGTGTTGTTGCGTTGTTGTGTAGTTCTCCATCACCCATCTGAGTCCAAGTCGCGGTAGTCACCATGGTTCAATTCTCTCAAGCTCTCGCCATCCTTTTGGCGACTGGAGTCGTTGCTCATCCGGGTGGCAACATTAACAAGGAGGTTCAGAGACGCCAGGCCCATCTCGATCACCCATACCGCCGAAATGTTGGGGAGTGCAAGAGGGATCTTGTTGAGAGCGGATGGGTCAGGGAACAGCATATGAGGCGCGAGGCAAGGTTACACGAACTCCGTGTCGCGGCTGGCTTCGCAAAGGAGGGAGAGCTTGTGAGGCGTGATCCTGCTGAGGCTGAGGCGAGTTATGGAGAGGCTGCTGCTTGCACGCTCGATCCTGAGGCGACCGAAGGGCCATACTGTAAGTGAACTCGAACGCTGCACCAAGCTTTAGGCCTAATGGATTTCAGGGGTCACGGGTGAGCTCATCCGTCAGGATCTTCTCACTGGCGAGAAGGGTGTTGTTGTGCACTTGGACATCAACGTGATCGATACCACTGGTTGCAAGCCAGTTACGGATGCCTACGTCGAGATGTGGGGCTGCAACTCCACTGTAAGCTATTCGTTCCCAACACCTAGATTCCGTAGCTAAAAGATGTAGGGTGTCTACACTGGTGTGCAAGCCAAAGGCAACGGTGATGGATCCCGAACTGCTGTCGCTACCAACGCCCTCCGAGGAGTTCAACCCACCGGCTCGAACGGAACTGCTACCTTCATTACTCTGATCCCAGGTCACTATGTTGGACGAACCAACCACCTCCACAGTATGTTCAATTTGTAATCCCATAGATAAAGACGTCAAACGACTAACCAACACCTAGCAATCATCCACCACGGCGCCAAGCTCCTCCCCAACAATACCATCCAAGGTGGCACCATATCTCATGTAGGCCAATTCTACGTTGACCAAAACATGCTCTCCGACGTCGAAAAGACTACTCCATACTCCACAAACAAGCAAGCCCAGACCAAGAACGCCCAAGACCAGCTCTTCAACATGGGCAAGCAAGGCGGCGACGACCCGGTACTCCACATCAGCCTTATTGGCAAGACCGTTGCAGACGGCCTCTATGCCACCATCGACGTCGGCGTTAACCCCCGGGCTAAGCAAAACCCCCAGCCGGTCAACATGTGGACTTCTGGAGGAGGTATTCCAGTGCCGAATTCGCCGTGGGCCGGATATCCAGATACGTGCAAGTACTGTGGTTTCAAGCCGCCGAAGGAAAAGGAGTAGGTATGGGTAATGTAGAGGTAGAGGTAGAGTTTGTATAGTGGTGATTAGGATGGGTGATTGTGTGAAGTTTCTTGTACCCGCTATTTCCGCCGCTTGTGAGGCGTTGAAATTGTGCGTGGGCTTTGCTTTTATGGGGAGGTTGATACCGCGAAGGTGGGGAATTGGGGTTTCATAGATATACATCATTTGCTTCGTGCCCTGATAGGAATTTTTTCCCATGTCGTATCACGTGTGCTCATCTGAGATTGTGAAATCTGCGGAAAGGAGACGTCTGTTGGCTTCAAGAGTCTAGATACAGTCGCGGTCAAGTGTCACATGATTCTTTCTTACTCTGTAGTCTGCGGTCTCGAACTCAGGTGTATAAAGCCTCCTCTTCCCCTTTTGTTCTTTCGTTGTAGACACTACGGTGAACTTCTGTTCTTCTAAAATGGTTCTCCATCAATGCAATGTTTCTTTTCTAAAAAGGCGGTCACAAAGTCCCTATGCCCTTCTTCCTCCACCGTTCCAAATGACAAGACCAGCCTATCATGGAGCAAAACTTTCCACCCTAATGCTTATGCATTTGTCACTAAAATCGGTAATTACAAAAGAGGCTAATGCAACCCTGCAAAAAAGATGCTTGGGGATTAAATCCCTTATGGTGGGGCTTCATGGGATCCTGCGTATCAGGCCGAGAGTCTTAAAATTCAGAAGGCAAGAGATCATGGAAGAAAAGCATTGCTCTATCCTGAGATCTACAAACGCCATGCTGGCTTTGTGATGAGGCCTGCAACGATTCGGATGCTGTACACCATCTCAGCGATCGGAAAGGGGCAGAAATGCTGGATAACTACGATTCCCTGGTCTTGTCGTACTTCTGCTCTCACGAGAAGAGCTTTGTTGGTCTGTAGAACGACCCACAGAGCCATGACGGGAGGAAACTGAGTTTAGGTCTGTTACAAGTCTGGAGATATCAAAGCTTGAGTAAATCTGCGACATGTTCGGAAGATTGTTGCCTGTTCTTGACGGTGTAATGGAGACTAGGGACTTTGGTATTATTTTTTCTTGTCTAATCGGGTATCTCCCCCCTTGAAAAATACATAACTGTTTCTCCTTCTGCCTCTCAGGCTTCTTTCGCACTCTCTGTCTCCCTGTGACCCGGGGAAAAATCATATAGCCCAGCCCAATTGATAGACCAATAGAGTTCTCGGTATTCGACAGAATGATCTTCTGCTTCCTTTGGAAGACGCGGACATTGCCGCCATGGAGCATGCTTCAAGACCAGAATAAAAGCACTTTAGGGGTATGATATAGTTGTAGGCATCTGGATATACCTGCAACTGGCCCTGTGTTATGTCGCTTTTTCAAAACGCTTGTCGCTTAGAGAATTGGGGGGTTTTGGTGATTCTCGCAGCATCTGATAACTAGATAGTGCTACATCGAAGTTGAAGATAGGTTCTTAGAACCATATTACTAGCATGTATATAATCCCCGGCACCACCAAACCCCTACCACAAACGGTACTGGATCTTCCCAAATCGCTAAAACGGGCCCGAAGCCACATTATGGGGCATCCCCCCTTTCCCGAAAACGACAGGCTTACTGCGTATGACAGCTGCCCCACTGGCCTTGTAAAGTCTTCTATGCGTGGATTCATAGCTTCCACATTTCTAGGGGTTTACTCCTACCTATGGAATATTGTAAAGAAACTGTTCGGAATGCTGTTCAGAAGGCATCACTGATGATCAATATCACGGAATTACTTACGTGAAGACTGATCCCATCATTCTGAAGTTGCTGAAGCTGCTATTAACCTTCCTCCATTCAGAGGATATGTTCATGGTGTTTAATAGAACGTAACTGCTACTGTTTGTTGTGTTTTTAAGGCGTTACTGTCAGCAATAGAGTTTTGTTCTTACGGAGAGAGTAAATTAAACAGCCTTACAGGCAGTAATAGTTACTGCTAAGTTAATTAATTATAAACCTACTGTTTAGTGCAGTTATTGCAGTAACTAATGTTTCTAGAGGCTCTAGAGGGCTAGTATAGAGATTGTTTAACTTCCAGTAAACGAGTTCTCTAGCAATCTAGTTACATTGTAGCTGCAGAGCCTTAATTAAAGCATCTCTAAGACATAGAGTTTGTAGCAGGGATAGATAGGAAGCCATAAGCCATCTTGTACAGCGTTAGGTAGTGCTTACACCTAATATAATGCCGTTAAATGAGTGGATCTCTATAGACTGAATCGGCTTCGGCTGCAACAAGGAGATTAGATTGAGCAGTATTAATGTACTGCTGCAGCTTATTTCCAGGCGTAACTTCTGTTCCACAGCAGCCCTTGTCCTACTATGCGTGAAAACGTCCTCCGCGAACGCGTTACTAAAACACTAAGAAATTAATTAGTATAGGCAGTTACTGCAGTAACGATAGCCTTATTAATTGTACAGTAACAGAAGGCAATTTACTGTTGTTCTAACTGCTAAGAGATTGCTACTATCAGTAACAGTAGGAGCAGTACTACGTTCTATTAAACACTATGGATATGTTCGTTTGGTAACTACGCCCAAGAAAGCAGTCTGCGTCGAGAACGTACGACCTCGACTCTAAAACATCCGAACTAAACCATCAGCTACCTCCAGATTGGGGGAAAATTGCAATTAGATAGCAATTAACGGTGCGATACTGCACTTCTGTCACTGTGAAATAGTTGTGGACATGCGGCTATGGACCTTTTTTTTTAACAAAAAAGGGCAAAAAAAAGCACTCGAACAATCCGATCAATGGACTCGAAGCTCGGTATCTAGGCTACCTAGGCTACAAATGGGTTCGATGAACTTGTTCCTGAGATATTCATTCACCAAAGGAAAAATACGCTTACTAGGGAGATAGCAAGCCGTAGTTTACCACCCGGCTTGTAATGGGACCAAAAGCTTATTGACTCTGCTCAATGGGGTTGCGCGCTGAGCTTGAAAGTTTGCTTTGTTGTGGCGATGAGATCTGGATGGCTTGGACATGGGAGGGAGTAAAACCGTAAAGGAAGACGTCAATGGAATTAGTGGCCACTGAAGGCTGATGTAATTTTCTTGGAGTTGGAGTGATGCGGGGCGGCGTGAGGAGCGGAAAATAAATTGCAGATACTGTGCTGGGCGATAGGGGTTTGAGGATCGGGATGGAGATGGCGATGCAGAGAATCGCTGGGATGTGTTGCTGTGTATTGGCGGATTCTGCAGATTCTGTGGAGTATTGGGGAACTGGATATACTATTGATATACACCTCGAGGTCCATCCGATATCTTGGTGGTGGGGGCTGAGAGGAAATAGAGCGCACGTGCTTTTGCTGCGCTTTTCGTCGTGGCTTACCAAATGCGTCAGATTGAGGACACGCGCAGGAGTACGCAACGAAACAGGATGCAGCGGTCGGACACAGGAAATAGAAGGAATGAGAAAGGTGGCGTGGAAAGTAATTGTGCATTTATCAATTACCCGGGTACGTTATGAAGGACCGAAAGAATGTGATGCCCGGATACGCCTCGCTATGCAGGGTATCAATAGTTAATCCCACCCAACCGTGAAAGAAACCCCTTTATCCTAAACAGACATCAAATACCATTCCTAGAACCACGCCAAGCTCCAAAGCGCTGGCATGTTGGGCCATCGCTCCTGCCACTCAGCGAGAATGTCTGGAACCTTTTCGTCGAAACCTTGACGAGCAGCGCCGACTCCACCCTGCCAACCGCTGTCTCCATACATCCCCCTCTCTTGGCTCGCGGCTTCGTTTAAGCTCAAGGCGAGATCTAGGATAGCTTTGCCTCCAACGAGAGCCTCCTCGTGGTTGTCTCGGATATCCACGTTGAAAACATGGACGGGCCGGTTTAGCTTGCCTCCTTTGTTGTGCAAGTCGTCTAACACAGCGTCAAAGCACCGCTCCTCACATGTTATCACGACGTCCACGACTCCAGCCTCAGTGCCTGGGGCGCCTTGATCTTCAGTGTGATCCAGTCTCGGTTTGCCAGGCACCCAGTCTTGAAACCTCTCCGGGTAAGACTTGATGGAGAGATTGCGGGAGAGCATATTCAAGAGGCCATTTTGAGTATAGAGCTGCGTGTTCTGCTGGGCAAGCTCAGCGTGAATGGCACGGTAGGTAGTGCTGTTGAAGTGGTAGACATTCGGCGAGGTAATAGTCGGACCGGGAAGGCGAACGAGAGAGCCAGTGCCGAAGGAAATGGTGGGGAGGCCAGCGGAGGCGAGCTGGAGGTGTGCTTCCATGGAGCTGAGAGGGTTAGCCTGCACTCATGCCAGATTCCGGATATGAGTTTTACCGATTTTGGTTACTGGCACACACGGTGCAGAACTTCAGCTTGAACATGTCGTCAGGCACGACTTGAGCCTGGCCGGGTGCAGGGGACTGCTCGGACTCGTCGGGCGTGCCCTCCGAACCGGGTTTTGATAGCAAGTTGCCCATGGGCGGGGGAGGAGGGGGGGGAGGCACGGGAGTGGGTTGATGCTGCTGAGGTCGTGACCTCGCTAGCCGTGGATCTGCCGACATAGTGAAGGCAGGGTCTGAGATTGAAGCGCGACCTGCGCGGTGAATGGGGAGGGTGAAGGGACCGAGCTGCAAAATCTTCTTCCCCCTTCGTTAGTGGGGGACTGTGATACGGGGCTCGGGGCAGGAGTATCACGGATACGGATGAATCAGAATTTTCAGTGTATATTAGAAGTCCTCATGGTAAATAGGACAGCTCCAATAAAAGGTTCATCATTGCACAAGGCCGAGTCTGGGAGGGAAAGAAAACAGGGCATCGGAAACTTACTGGGCAAAATAAGTAATCTGAAGCGTGGCCAAGATGTATGAAGCTGGTGAGAGAGTAGATCACGAGGCGTGGGATGACACCGGGTATTTGTATGTGGTGTTCGAAGATGGAGGCGAGATGGAATGGAGGATTGGGTTTGTGTTTTGCGTGCAGTGGCCGAGGGTTGAGGGGATTTTATCTGCTCACTAATTCTCCGAAGCGTGAAATATTACGCCGGATGCAGGATAGCGTCATCTGAGTGCTTCTCCACTGTCCTGGCACTGTCTCTGGGATGGTTCAAACACCTGGCGCCCTCCTGGGAACGCCGCATCGCAGGCTCCATCGGCATTGCTACTTGTTCCTGACGAGCTTGGTCGCCGGAGAGCGTATAGCATTGCACATATCGTTGCATGGAGACAGCAGCTATAGGGCTGGCGTGGGCGCTGTCGTGACATGTCGTGCTCTCCAGCCCAGCCTTCCCGGCTCGCCTTGCTCTCTTGCCTCTCGCGCCCGCGATCCCCAGCCCAAAGCTTGTCCAGGACGCTCCCTCTGCGCGGGCCTTGCCGTCAGCAGCAGGAAGCGGCCAGCCAGCTCGCTCGCCGTCATCATCTGGGCGGCTTCATGCATGCTGGGCCGCGTGATGGCATTCCGACATGGACGATTATTAACACAACGTCCCCCTTCACCGCCCCAGAGGGCTCGCTTTCCGCTGGTCGCTGCACGCGGGAGTCTCTTCGCGGTTAGACTGTTTCAAGTCGTTGGTGGTGAGCTGGGCTAGATAGAAAATAGCAAGGCCTCAACCAGGCCAACGTTGGTATCCAGAGCCCAGAGACCTGGCCCCGGCCGCCGCCCCGACTCGTTCTTCTCCCCTACTCTTGAACGTCCATCACCACGGCCGAGATATATGCTGCCATGGGCAGTTTCTGAATGCTGAGTTTCGCCCGCCGCGTGCGCAATTCCACCTGAAACGGCCAATCGGCCTCTAGTGCCATGGTCCCCTCGCCGCCAGGATAAAAATAGCCGCCTGCATTCAGTCTACCACAACCTGCCCAGCGCTCATCGACACATCCACATCCACTGTTCGCCTGGTGCTCGTTCACCTCACCTCACCCCGACGGCTCCGCCATTGCTGTCGCGCTTTCGTCCGCTCTTGTGCACTCGCCTCCTGGCGCTGCTGCACCGCTTCACGGTGCTGCTGCTGCATCCACGGCAGCGTCCTCGCTCCCTCGACTGTTCACTGGGTAAGTCTTAGCGCCAGGGCTGCTCCCCACACACACACACCCCCCCCCCTCCCCGGCGAGCGCTTCCCCAACCGCTGCGCCCGCAAATATCTTCAATCCACCCGCCGGGTCCTGCCCTCCTGCCAATCGCCCCGGCTATCGCTGTCATCGAATGCCCTTTCCAGAAGCCCTCAAGCGCTCTTCCACTACCCATTGGCCTCTGTCATCCTCGAAACATCCCGCCAAAACATCGAGTCGCCGCCTCCTCCGCCGCTATCTCGCCTCTGGGCCGCCTGCAAGGCACCCTTCACCTGTGATTTGGGACACTGCTGCTGCAACATCTGCGGCCTTTGCGCCGGCCCCCGATCGGACGCTTCCAGGACGCTGCTAGGGCGCTGCAAGCCCATCAATGAAAGGCTGGTCCGTTCTCCGGAGCTTGATCGCTCGCATATCTCACCCACATCTCGTCCACGTCGCGCGCGGCCTCCTGCAGCTGAGCTCTGTTCTCATATCCTCGCCGCATCCTTAAAATCCTCTCCGATCCATTGCTGACCGCTTAGTCGCTTTGTATTCTAGAAATAATCTCCTCGCATGACCGACGACAAGCCAACCGACGGCCGACGGCTGGAGGATATAACCGAAGGGGAGGTCGTCCGTGGACGGCAGCGGCACTCAGACATGGCGGCGGACGTGCGATCCCCGATGAGCGAGCCGGGATCTCTCACATCGCCGAGTGCAAACCGCACCTCGCTACCACCGTTAGTCACGTCCCCGCCATCCAAAGCCAAACTGGAGCGGGCGAGCTCATACATCAACGCGACCAAGCGCCTGTCAACCTTCTCCAACACGTCTAATGCCCAATCGGTCCGATCACGGCCCCAGTCGACAGCGTTCCCCATCTTCCACTCCAGTCTCCCATACACACTAGTGCGCGACTTTGCGTATGGCCCCCTCCACCCTCTCTTCTATGGGCCCCTCCCCGAACAGCCCTCCAACATCTCAACGCCAGCGAGCGAGGTCAGCAGGAGGCTGTCGGATCCGCCACCAGTGGCGTGGCGTGGCGACAGCGGTGGATGGTCTGCTGGCACATGGGAGCCCGGTGAGCAGTTGCCACAGACTGCGTATGGTGACGGCCCGCCATGGAGCGAGGATGAAGACATTCACAGCCCCAAAGTGACGAGCCACGCGCGACACAAGAAGCATAAATCCAATGTCGTAGACTTTGATCAGACTAGAGGGCGGAGGGGGTTCAACGAGGAGTACCGCCGAGGATCATATTCTGGCTCAAACGGTGATGGCAGTCAGGTCTATTACGTCAGCGACCTCAGTGAAGCTAATGGACCTGGAGGCGAGTACATCACATACCCTCCTTCATCACAGAGCCAGGCAGTGCCTTCCCTCAACGTTCCTGCTGGCGAATCACGTCGAGACTCGCACTTTGCCGCAATCCTTCCACAGCGTGCCTATGCAGATGCCCAAGCTCCGCTGATGTTTGACTCAGATGAGGATATGTCGGAGCCAGGGGACTTCTTGAATGACGAGAGCCGGTTTTCACGGGATTACCAATTCACCATCGCGTCGCCGGAGGAGGAGATGCACGGTAAGGCCGTGGCTTTGTTCGACTTTGTCCGGGAAAACGACAATGAATTGCCGCTTGTGGAAGGACAGGTGATACTAGTCTCATATCGACACGGGCAAGGCTGGCTTGTTGCACAAGATCCAAAGACGGGCGAGAGCGGACTGGTTCCGGAAGAGTATGTCCGCCTGCTTCGCGACATCGAGGGTGGCTGGAACGGCTTGATGAACGGCACAGCCACTCAGGAATCCAGCAATGGCAATGGCCACGAAGGACTTCTCTCGCCGGTGTCCGCCGGGCCAGAAGCGAAGACTCCTACACAGGCCGACCATCGCACGTACACTCCGGTCATTTCGACATTTTCCACAAGCACAAAAGATCTGGAACCCTACCCCAAGGAGATGCTTGGCACACCAACGCAATCAGAAGCGGCAGGCTTCTCGAAGCCCGGGGAGTCATCCAGGGAGAAGCCTGCGGTGGAAGGCAAGCGCGAAGCGGGGCCGATGGAAGGCGTTGAAGCGAGTCCAGAGCCCACCTCTCAACAGAAGCAAAGCCAAGGCGCGACCTCATGAACATGTCTGGGATCTGAGCTCTTCCGCAGGTTCCCCCCCCCACACACACATCAAAATAATTAAAAAAATATCCAATCCTGGGATACTTCTTTACGACCAACACCTTCGATCATTGTCTTCCTCAACCGCCTTCAGCCCGCATCGGCGGCGTCATGGTTCTCGATTTCAGGTCCTCGATTGCATACCAGTCCGGACTGGGCTTTTCCAACACCCTCAACCACCACCCCCGCCACCCTTTTCACGACATTCGCTTCACCACAATGTTTTAACGATCAGCTTTTTTACCACTGCATTTGTTCGCTTCGGGGGGTTTAATTCTGTTCTTACGTCTCGCTCACCCCACCTTTCCCCGCGCTTCAACAGGAAGCGCTCTAGCACCGAACCGCTGACTCACTCGACTTCGACCTCGACTTCGTTCTTCGGTCTGATTTGGCACGGCGCTCATGGAATTACATCACATTTTCGGCAATGTCGACACGATGTGTTATGTATGCTGGTAGATTCACGAATCTCCCAACCGATTTTGCATCATCTGATCTCTCGCTCAAAGCATTATATATTCGGAGCACTTGAAGAGATAATATGAGGATGTTCAGCTATGCATGTTATGTGGTCTTTCGATAGCGAATGCGACCGCGCATCCTGTTCGGAAGCGTTCATATGTGCGTGCTCGAGCAAGAAATATTTTCCGTGGAAGAGCGATCAATATATATTAGCGGAATTTTTCACGATATGCAGCAGGACATTTGTCGAATGGTAGATGCACAGATGGATGGAACAATGGATGGCTGTTTGCGCGTTGGCTCTGCATCCATGAAAGAGATGCATGCATACATGCATAAGTGGCCCTTTTTTTCCTCACTGTAGTTGTACTTATCTCGTGACGAGGCATGAATGGTCAGGCTCGCGAATACCCACCCGTATCTGGGTGTGAATGGAATGGATGGATGGATGAATGTACGCGGATGGGGTGGTTTACCTACTGTATGTATTCCGCTAGACTTCACTCGGGGAAGTCTACTGGAAGGCTACAGTTTAATGGTGGAATGGAATATGTTGAAACGTGATTATTGACTGAGATCCTTGTGGCTGCTTTGGTGTGTCTAGTGTTCGTTCATTCCTGTGACTTTCACCGCTTTCACAGCGACCATGCATTATATCTCTGGTCTTAGCAAATGCAGGGAGGTGTATGTATATAAGCACCTGACTGAATCCCCCCTGTGCCTTCTTATAACCGGCTGGCCACGGAGGCTATTGCATTTGCTAGGGCGGAACTCTTTCAACCGCCTCTCCTTTTTTGGTCTCTGAGTAATTTCTCTGCTGTCTGCTGTATCCATGGTGTTTAATAGAACGTAGTACTGTTCCTACTGTTACTGATAGTAACAATCTCTTGGGAGTTAGAACAAAAGTGAATTGCCTTCTGTTACTGTACAGTTAATAAGGCTATAGTTACTGCAGTAACTGCCTATACTAATTAATTTCTTAGTGTTTTGTTAACGCGTTTGCGGAGGACGTTTTCGCGCACTAATACACTAGATTTTGTACTTTTTTAACTATCCTATCTATTGTTAGCACAGAGAAGTAGCTCCTTGATTTACCTACTTCTTGCTTCTAATATTGCTTCTATTGTCACTATAAGTATGCTAAACTCCACGTAGCACTTAAAGCTTGTAACACTTAAAGCTTGTAGCACTTGAAGCTTGTAGCACTAGTTTAACACTTTGCAAGCTATTGTTGCCTTAAGAAGTTAAGGGCTGCCTCTAGGAGCTCTTAGATATTGTGTAAAGAGCTTAATTACAGCTATTGCCTTCCACAATCTTAGAGTTGAACAATCTCCGCAACTATATTGGCAAGATTGTGTTAAGAGCCTCTAGAAACACCAGTTACTGCAGTAACTGCACTAAACAGTAACTTTACTGTTAATTAACTTAGCAGTAACTGTTACTACCTGTAAGGCTGTTTCAATTCACTCTTTCTGTAAGAACAAAACCCTATTGCCTCTAGTAACGCCTCAAAATACTACTGACAGTAACAGTTACGTTCTATTGAACACCATGGCTGTATCCCTGAAAGCCCGAAGGAGGCCATCTGCGTGGGAGTGAGTGCGCGCGGGGAAAATGTCGCTGTGGTGAGGAAGTTCTGTACCATTGCTAACCATCGTCCTGTTCTGACCTGGTATACATCCTACGGTAATTTCATGGCTAGCGGAATTCGGTAGACCTTTAGAGTATATAAACACTCCTGATCTTCGAGTCCCCAATCTCAAGGATATCGTGCCCTCCAAGTTGAGGGTTGAAAATGTCATAGTGAATTATGCTTGGGTTTATAAATCACCTCAACGTGTATATATTCGTGGAGTTGTATAGAGTTGTGTAGGACAAGATGCAAGGAGGAGTATTAAACTCTAGTTGCAGCAGCACCCTTCACCTTCTTCACTATCAAGCCATTTCTCCTACGCGAGGCACTAAAGCACATCGAGGAGGGAGACATGGAGGAAGTAAAAAGGCAAACCAAAGAGAGCTATGGAATCAGCATCATCTTCTAGAAACTTAAGAAATGTCTTGTTTAGTCCGTACACTGAAAATTCTAGATCACCACTTTCAATGCGCGGAGGACCTATAAAAAAACCTGCACCTTAACTCAACGTCGATATCTACTCGCTGAAATAATCGGTAACTATTATATTTTATGGATGTCTTTCTAGTTGTGCTTCGGGATCGGTGCTCGCACAGGTCAATATTTGGATGGAGGATATTGAGATTCGGGAGTTTGGAAATAGAAACCTTTCTCGTAGTTCAGGATTCTGACTTCGCTTTAACTGCTTGAGAGATCAAACTCTAAAATTTTACTCGAAAGAGATGAATGGGATGGTTCGAACAAGATTTCTACTCTTTAATATTCTATGACTAGCGCTGGAGGGATTCTGCCCCATAAGCGATGAAGTGCAGTAAAAGCTTTACTCTGGCTAGTGATGGTCAAATGCTGGAGGTTCGAATAGGAACCCGAATGCCTTGATAAGGTATCATGATCTCCTCGGTTGTCGTCGAGATATCTAGGGAACATCCCTGGATGTGATCACGCGGGAAAAGTGGGCAATTAAACACCCCCACCCTGTTTCATTCCGACTCCTGAATCGCACTGGTTCGACTACTTCTCTCTAAACCGGGCGTCCAAAACTTTTCATGGGTGTTTTCTTCTGGCACTTGATGTCCGATAGCATATACCTGAGGATTAAAACATGTCAATCTGCCTGTAATGAAGTGATGAAGAAAATCCACTTTCGATACTCCCATGAGTTATTGGGTCAGAGCATGGGTGAGGTGAAACATCACTATGAGGGAATGGTGCTAGACATGGCGACCAATGTTTCCGCAGCGCGGTCCTAGCAAGAGCGAAAAAGGGGAGTGACTCAAATCCCCTAGATGACTAGGTCTTGGAGAATCCTTCCAGGCACTTACTAGATGGTCTCTGGATTAACAATGGAGTGTTGTTTGGACCCTCGGACCGCGGAGCCACAGGTTTGTGGTCTTACAGGAAGGTATTTGAGCCCTCCTCACTTCTCAACTACTAACTCTTTCTCTTCGCAGAAGTGACACAAGCTTCGCTACATAGAGTTGTGATTAATTTTGCCCCGCTCGCTTTATGTCCACACCTAAAGATTTGCTCTCACCACTGGCATTTCCTGAAACTGATTCCACCAATATACCCATAATAGCAGGGCTTGCTCTCGAGCCCCAATCGCAAGGGTAAGTTGGACTAGAACGAGGTCATGGCTTCTTTGGTGTGCTCTCGATGGAGACAAGCTTCGGTGGTGTTGAACTGCACGGTTGCACTAGATATCGGGGTATACAAACACCCTCTGCGTCTTTCCGCTTACGTTCCGCTGACTCCGAGCCACTAACAAACCTTGGAGGCTCTACCTTATTCAGGGGAGGAATAAGCCATCGTCTACACTAGCGAATGCCATCTTGAAAATGGAGTTTAGGACAATTCTTGAACCAATTCTCACGACTATTGACTTCGTGGGAGTAGAAACTAGTCTCAAATACCTCCTGTTCGTTAGCATGAAGACTTACTTGAATTGCAAAATTCGCGTGAGATGGAGTGCGTGGTGATTCCGGAACTCGTTTTTCACTACCGTTGGAAGAAATAGCGGTTGACATCTTCCGATCGGTCGACTTGGATATGTAACCTATTCATATCCTAGCCTTCTTTGGCCTTCAAGTAATTCTAAATCTTGGTTTGACAAAAAGAAACATAGCGACGACGTATGTCTGTGGGAAAAAAAATTTCCGTTCGTACGAATCATGGCCGGTGTCCGTGGTGGACGGCATCACGTCTTCAGGAATGAGATTTGTTTTCGTGCAAATCATGAATGGCGCTTGTTTGAAAATTCCACTAATAGATTATAGAGTGAAGACACCAAGATAAGAAAAAAAGGGGATGAAGGCAAAGCGGTTGAAAGCTTGAAAGTGAAAGTTCAATAGTTTTCTCTTCGCTGCTTGGGGGGCTCCCTCGTACCTGGATGGCTGAGTAAATCTAATCATTCCTAAAATATTAATTCCTTTCATTCCTTACCCTAGGCCTCCACTCTCTCGCAAAGAATCTAATTCTACATATTTCCAATCTCTATACGGGCCCGTATATGTCTAAAAATTTGGAGAATTCTTTCAGGAAGGGAGATGAGTAGGGAAACGCAAGTCTCCCAATGCGTTTCACCACACGCATCCCCCTCCCCTTCCCTCCCCTCCCCACCCTTACCTTTTGCCCTTTTTAGTTATATTTGTTGCCTCTTTAGGATACTTAGGTGAATAGATGTATTTTCCGGTAGTTAGTGGGGCCAAGGTTGGAGAAGGTGTGAGACTATTTTGTCTTTTTAGGTGTATACAAGGGTGAAGGTACCTACTGCACTGCTTTCACCAGTTTGCGACGAGTTTTGATAGACTTCAACCGTCGGTATTTTGAATTGAGTCATCTGAATTAATTGAGCCCGTGGAGACTGGTGCTCGCAGACTCTAGCAAACTCATAGATAAAATGGCTTGGATGAAAGGGATTTCACCAAACCTACTCTCATCTCAAACTGCACTCTCCTTCCAACTCTCCACTATAGCTTTAACTAACGCCACCGTAACTTCCACACCCGTCGTAATCTCCTCCTCATCCTCCAACATCGGAACATGCATGAACGCCACATTCCTCTTCCCCGCCTTCCCCATCTCCACCATATCCGTAAAATAGATAAACCCGCACAAATACGTCCCCACATTGTCACTCCACCGCACATCCTCAACCTGCATAACATTGCCCCCCAACCTTACATCGACAAAGCTTCCAGCCATCGACTTCGTGATCCGTTTCGCTTTCGCTTTCGGATCGCCGCCGATCTCGAACGGGAATCGGATATTAGAAGTCAGATCCTGCCATCGTTCAACCACATCCTCGAGATCTAGACTGGTGCTCAGTTGCGGCGGCTGAGAGCCCCAGACTGCGTCATTCTCTGCTGCAGTAAACGTTTTATTTTCGACATCGGGTACGCGATTGTAACCATTTTTGTGCGCGGTTTGCTCGACGGCGAAGTAGCTTCGACCAGGAGCGACACCGATGGAGAGAACGATATCAGGTTGGTGTGTCTGGATGAGATTGGGGATGAGGTTGATGACAGGGTGGTAGGCGACGGGGATGGCGGAGGGGTAGACGACTAGGTGGATGGAGTCTGAGAGAGATGTGGGGAGGCGCGAGGCGACTTCATAGGAGGGGTTGTTGGGGACGTCCTGGAATGCCTGGATTGGTGTTAGTAAGAGGTTGCAAAGGGAGGGTGCTGTACATGCCCCGAAGCCAGTAATGAGGACCTTGGTGATGTTAGATAGGGGGGCCATGTTCCGAGCAGAGTTGGCTATTTGGAGGGAAAATGATTGAGTAGAAGAATCTGTATTGGCTGGTGGGCTAGGTCCTTATGTATACTACGCTACCCAGATAGGCGGTAAAAACCCATGATGCAGCGTTGGCGAGATTTTGGAGCATTTAACATCAAGCCTTCGCACCCCGGAATCTAAGGAGCAGGCAACGAAGATTGAATGACAAGGTCTGATTATTGGAAAAGTGTGATAACGTGGATGTCGAGGTCCGTGTAGCGCTTCTCGAGCGCAGTCGTGCCGGATGAGCTTTGAACATCCGCGTCATTGTTACATCCATATTGGTACCCAATGGTTCTTTCGCTCACACCTTTGCTCGCGACTCTTAGTGTCTTCTCACACCAACACCGTTATGAGAAGAGGACCTCGACAAACCATCGCTGGTGGCGTTATGAATCCTAAATGTGGCTGTGCATATGCGGGTAAGACCGCACTGCGTTTCAAAGGATCATGATTGGTGGGAATGCAGTATGCCAAATCAATTGAGGAAGGAGAGAAGACGGGATATATGAACCAGGCATCACACCTGAGATTCTCCGGTAAGTTCGGGGTGTAAATGGGTGTCACGCGGCCGTTGTTGAAGTCGATACATTTGTAGAACATGTCGTGTAGAGGAGGCTGGCCCTCCGTGGCAGAACTGTAATTGTGCATAGCAGTGGCCATGGCATGTTGGCGAAGGTATGGGGGATAAAGTAGGGGTTGTGTGCTCCACGTCTAGCACTGCTGTTGTTGCAAAGGTGCGCTGTTGGAGAGAACCTACATGATGGGGAAAGGCTCCTAAATATCTGGCAAACTTACCGGAGCTACCTTTTCGCTCGTTCTATAGACCTATCAATTCCATTGAATGGCTTATCAAGTGTAGGTGCGTGGAAGGCTAGCGTTGGGTTCTAGGTCCATACCACGGTAATTGTGAATCTCGTTTCGTCTGTTTATCGCGGCGCTGTCCTGAGAATGGCTGGAGGACTAAAGAAGTTAAATAACAAAGTTTCAGAACAGAGCACCGGTGTCTGGTAGACGACGTTGTAGAGGCAATATGATAGACGAAGAAGATGGAGTCTTTTTCCGATCTCGGAAGGAATGGTAGACGTGGTCACGCGTCTTGACGATTACATCACCCGACGGAGCAAAAACCTAGAAAGGCTGCCTTGAGCAAGAGATCGTCCCGGAGAAGTGCGTATGGTTCAGAGAAACGGAGTGCTGCAGTGCTTGCCATTGTTTGTGTGCACTTGGTGGAGAGGAAGAATCTCTCGTCGGCTCAATCGCAATGTGCCCATATGAGGAAGTGGACGTTTTCCGGTAAAATACAGGATTTCGAAGCTGGTGGCCGATGTTGAATCAATAAATCGGTGCAACGTCGGAGTTGGGCCTGGCTGACGGGCGTTGTACTCTGTCTTGACCCACAATTCTTCCATGTTTATTTCAACCTCGCACCTCACTCTGTCCAATTGGCCTCATGTCAACATCTGACTGACCTCAGCGGTGGAAACGGGTTGGTGATAAGGAGCACAATGTAGATAGTAAGTTCTCAGCCATTATCTAAGCGCGTGCTAAGCATCAAGCAACCGAGGTCTGCAACAGCCGAAGCCACAACGGCGCCACTCGGCTTCTCCGTTTCTCCTCTGGTCCAACGCCAACATCAACATTCGACCCCCACGAATTTGGCATGTCCAAGCGTAGATTTTTGAATGTTTTCGTCTCAGACAGTATCTCATCTCTTCGAGGCACATGATTAGGGGGCCTTTCCACTCGAAGACGGTCATTTCCTAATGACTTGGCTTGCCGCGCTCCACCCGCTAATGTGTGGCACCCCAGATTGGCGCACTACTTCAACCAGCTTCCTTATCAGGGACCCTCGTCCGGCGACAGGCAGCACGACTCGCTTGGCGCTCTATTGTTCGTGGCGTTCATCGTTTCCATGAACAGGTGATATCTTCTGAGCATTCTTCGTTCGCGAAAGAGTTTGCCTGACCGTGTGCTAGACTACCGGATACGTGCGTGGACTTCAGCGGGTAAAGAGTGATTGCTGTCCCTCAAGAAGATAGGTACGACTGTGCCTTGCATCCAGACTCGCTTCCAATTAGTCCTACAGGACAATATCCGACCATTGCAAACCCCCCAACCCCCCCCTGCGATGTCAGAACGGAGAATGGTCTCGTGTCACCTACCAGTGCAACACCTGGACCTCCAAGCTCCTGAATAATTTCGTACTTTTTGGAAAGAACTACCGCATTCGAGCGTCCTGCTTCGTATTGAATGTTCGCACGACTGTCGGTTCACGGTCGCCCCCCGCTGCAGTCATGATGCACTCAGAAATTCGGTTGGGTTCCCCGCTACGATTTCCCAACTGCCAAATGCATGTTGTATCCGGATAATTAAGCTTTCCAACTTCCCTTAGCGCAATTACTTCCTCTCGTCTTGGTTTCCTGTCCGCCATGGATTGGGTCCGCGCCAACGCAAAGAAACATTCTAGATGCTTTTGAAGCCGCGTTGGCTGTCGGTGGCCTAACAATCTCGCCGGTTAATCATCCCACCTTCTCGATAGCAATGCCGCGATTTGATGCGCAAACGGTCGGTGATCCAATTGAGTGGATCCATCTCTGCTCTTTGCCGCCTCCACGCTAGAGCTCAGCACGATAACAGGGTTACGGCTGGGATCTCTGAGCAGCGCTCTGCAGTCAGCTCTATCTCCCGGGTCGTTATAAAGCACCGTCATGGCCGCCCTTGTTCAAACTCCTAGATTGTGTTTCACGACTTCCTCTATCGTCTTTACCCTTGAGAAGTCGCTCCCTAGAGTGCTGTCACTCGATCATCATGGAGCCAGCTCACCCCCCTCCAACATACGGTAACGTAGATTTGGAGAAGGACCAACTGCCCCGAACATCCCACACTTTCAAGGATCACCGCCGTGGTAGTCAATTCAGCGCTGAAAATGCCCCCGTTGTCAACGAAGATACGAACGAACTGAAGCGGAATCTTCATGGCCGACATATGCAGATGATTGCTATCGGTGGCGCGATTGGAGCAGGTCTTTTCGTTGGATCTGGTAAAGCGTTGTCTAATGGTGGCCCCGCCAGTTTGGTATAGCTCCCCACGGACTGGCTTTGGTGAGGAGATAACTGGCTGACATATTCCTAGCTCCTTTGTTTCATGATCATTGGTGTCATGATGATGCTGATGATGCAAGCTCTGGCCGAATTAGCTGTCATGTATCCCGTAAACGGAGCCTTTTACATGTATATTGTGCGGTTTGTTGATCCGTCCTGGTGAGTCGTATCTATACTTGAAATTTCTTGGTGGATGCTTATTACTTATTAGGGGTTTCGCAATGGGTTGGGATTACGCGATTCAGTGGCTGACTATTTTGCCATTCGAGATCACAGCAGCGGGCCTTACAATTGACTATTGGCACAAGTACAACATTGGAGTGAGTTTGTATTCGTGCGGCTAAACTTAATTGGTATACTAACGTAGAGCAGATCTGGATTGCAGTCTTCCTAACTATTTTGGCTGTTATTCAAATTTTCGGCGTGCGCGGATATGGTGAAGTGGAATTTCTCCTCAGCATGATCAAAATCGCTGCCTGTACTGGATTTATCCTCTTCGGCATCATCGTCAACTGTGGTGGTGTTTCTACTGACAACCGCGGCTATATCGGTGCTCGATACTGGCATGATCCTGAACAGGCCTTCAGAAATGGGTTCAAGGGCTTCTGCAGTGTGTTTGTCACAGCATCGTTTGCCTTCGGTGGTACGGAACTTACTGGCCTCGCTGCAGCCGAGGCCGCCGATCCGGTAAGGGAGATTCCAAAGGCTACTAAGCAGGTCTTCTGGCGCATTACATTCTTCTATGTGGTCAATCTCTTCGTCCTTGGCCTCATCGTTCCTTCCAGCTCCACCGTTCTACTTGGCTCTTCTGGAGCGAACACCAAGGCCTCCCCATTCGTTCTTGCAATCCAAATGGCTGGAGTCAAGGGTCTCCCTTCCGTATTCAACGCTGTTATCACGATTGCTGTCATTTCGGTTGCCAACTCTGCCACATACGCCTCCACTCGAACAATTCAAGCAATGGCTGCTAATGGAATGGCACCTAAACTACTCGCGTATGTTGACAAGAAGGGTCGGCCAATCCCAACCGTCATCCTCCAGCTCCTCTTCGGTCTCTTGGCTTTCATTAATGAAGCTTCAGAGACAGGAGGCACGATTTTTGGCTGGCTTCTCGCTCTATCCGGTATTGCAAACTTCTTCGTGTACGGCAGCATTTGTCTCGCCCATATTCGGTTCCGGAGGGCTTGGGCGTTGAAGGGACATTCGAAAGAAGAGTTGCCATACCAGGCGATGTTCGGAATATGGGGAAGCTGGTTGGGTGTCTTTCTAAACTTCATGTGTCTGGTTGCACAGTTTTACACTGCGCTTTGGGTACGTTTTCCTCGCTTTGATATTCTTTTCAATGCTTCTAATGCCTTTCATAGCCTATTGGTGGGAGTCCAGATGCAGAAGCTTTCTTCAGCGCCTATATTGCCTTGCCTCTCATCATTGCTCTTTACGTCATTTGGAAAGCGTATTCTTGGTTTCACATCCCGGAACACCGCCCGTTATTCGTTAAGATTAAGGATATTGATCTCTATGCGGGAATGCGGGAAGGACAGTTCCAGTTCTCTGGTGAAGGTGTCCCAGTGGAGGAGAGGAGGAGAAGCATTACGGAACTCGAGCAAAGCAAGAAGAAGACTCCGCTCGGATATGTCAAGAGTGTTGTCGGTGCTCTCTTTTAAGCAGATGTTTTCGTGGTCGCATCTGTGGGGAAGTCGCCGAGATCGAATATCCTGTACAGGAAGGAGAGTCGCATTGCGCCACCTCATTTCCTTTGAAATATAGAATATAGAGCATTTTATACGGAGAATTAAATGTGTGCTACCTGCTCAATCTGATTGATGGCTTTGTGGAGAGAAGACAAAGGGTTCAAATAAACTTTCTGCCGAAACCACAGCTAAGATCTTGGATCCTCTTGACATCCTTGGGTTTTGACGCTTAGTGTTTCTTATGCCAAGGGATGATTAGAGGCTTGGCTGGGTGCCGTGTTATCCGCGTCGGAGGTTCTTCGTGGGGGTTGGTTGGTGCTTGTGGAAAATGAACTTCGATCGTGGACAGCTACGGGTGCGCTCGGATACTTTGGTTTGACGTTCCTCTTGGAGCACACCCAAATATATATATATTTATTCATTTACGCTGAGAATTTACATTTTAGTGAGAGAACCGAGAAGGATGACGCGAGCACGTGATTCTCTGGCTAACCGAATGACGTTCATTGTTCAGTGCTGGCGATAGATCGATCCGATTTGTGGATCGATCTGAATCCACGCTATCCTAAATCTAGATTAGATCCTTAAATTAATTTATAGTCTTAGCTAAAAATTTACTTCTCTATTAATAAAATAACTTTAAAAGTCTTCTATAACATACTTAACAGGCAAGTTGCTTACACACTTAAGTTACTTACTTTTACTAAAACTCTACTAAACTACTTTTTTTACACTAATGCATTCCTAACAACACTACTTAGACGTGCTAAAAAGACATTAGATATAGCTTATACTTTAGGCTTTTAAATAAAACATAACACTTTTAAAATAATATACTATAGCTATGTATAACGTACCTAACAGGTTGGCTAGCCACACAGGTTGGCTAGCTACTTTTGCTAAGCCCTTACCACACTCTACCTATCTACATAATGCCTTAACAACAACACTAGATTAAATCTTCTAAAAAATGTTAAATAACATACTTTACAGGCAAGTTACTTACATGTAACGGCGCAGGCAAGACAATGGGTCCGAATGCGGTATGAATCCACTCAGAGGCATATGGGAGTGCGTGGGGACTCAGAGACCTGGGAATACCAATGACACCTATAGGCCTTGTACGTAGGATATCAGAAAACTACCGAGCTAGCTACGGGGCGAGGTGCGACTAAATACATGAAGGAATAGGGGTACAGCAGGGGTCGGGGCCAGGTCGGGGTCGGGGCCGATACGGGGGCCTTCCGGAGGTTCCGGGCGACCTGAGATGGAACGAGAATCGTTACATTACACACCTAAGTTACTTACTTTTACTAAGACTCTACTAAACTACTCTTCTTACACTAATGCATTTCTTACAACACTACTTAGACACACTAAAAGAATGTTAGATACAGCTTATGCTTTAAGCTTTTAAATAAAACATAAAACTTTTAAAAAAATGTGCTATAGCTATGTATAAAGTCTTATAAAAGATAATAAATAACTATAGTGCTAAATAACCTTTATAAGTTAATTCTACAGCTAAATTATAAAGGCTAGGTAATAAAAAAAAGTAGGTAATTATTAAGACTATACTTAAGCTATATGCGTAAGAAATTTCCCCTTAAATAGCATTTATAGCTAATATAGCTAATTCTTTGTGCGCTAAGTATAATCTAGGCTATGTTTACATAAACTAGCCTAGTACATTTATAAAGTGTTATTTAAAGCTTAAAGTAAAGTTTTAAGTGTAAGTATAGTTAAAAGATATTTAGCTAATTATAAACCTTATTTTACTAAAGTTATACATGTTATTATTTTAAATACTATACTTAGCTTTAATATTTTTTATAAGGCTAAACCTGCTTTAAATTACTTTAGAACTTTTATAAAAAGCTTTTTTATAGTTATACTTACACTTAAATGTTACTTTAAGCTTTAAATAACACTTTATAAACATACTAGGCTAGTTTATGTAAATATAGCCTAGATTATGCTTAGCGCACAAAGAATTAGCTATATTAGCTATAAATACTATCTAAGGGGAAATTCCTTATGCATATAGCTTAAGTATAGTTTTAATAATTACCTACTTTTTTTTATTACTTAGCTTTTATAATTTAGCTATAGAATTAGCTTATAAAGGTTATCTAGCGCTATAGTTATTTATTATCTTTTATAAGACTTTATATATAGCTATAGCATATTTTTTTAAGAGTTTTATATTTTATTTAAAAGCTTAAAGTGTAAGCTATATCTAACATTTTTTTAGCACATCTAAGTAGTATTATAAGGAATGCATTAGTGTAGAAAGAGTAGTTTAGTAGGGTCTTAGTAAAAGTAAGCAACTTAGGTGTGTAAGCAACTTGCTATTACAATCCTTGCTTTAAGAAGCACTCAGGTCTTATAGTATTCCTACGGGGGGGAAGTAGGACGGGAGGTAGGGGCCAACCGGTAGGGTGTACAGTCCTACGTACAGGCTATTAGGCTAATAGAGGCTTATGTAGAATAACTAGATCATAGTTTGCCCTATGTGCAGCAGTAGGGAGGCTAGGGTTAAACAGTCCTAATAGACAGGGTTAGAGGTATATATAGTGTAAGATATATAAATAGTATTATAGCTTTTTAAAAAGCTAAATGCTACTTAGTCTATATAATAAATAAACTAAACATTAAACACACCTTCTAAAAGTTGTTTAATGTAGGAACTATATATATATGCTAGGGCGCTAAAGGGAGCTAGTAGGAGTTTATAGGAGTTTGCTAAAGAAACTTTTATAAGCTCTCTTAAGCTTTCTTAGGCTTCTTAAATTTACAGCCTATTTTCTTATTAAACAACGCATTCTTCTATAACTTTAGGCAGGTGCGCTGCCTCTATGTCCTCTAACTAGTCTTTAAGCAAGCCCTGTCCTAATCTAGCTAGATAGGGGAGCACTGCTAGTAGAGTTACGCTAGTCTAACTATAGACTGTAACACACTGCCTCTTCTCCCTAGTAGCGTCCTTACTGCTCTGCTTATATAACTATGTTAGTAAAAGTTTATTTATAAGGTGTATATCTACTTACTAAAAGGCGTTCTTAACATTTATTTTTTTTATACTAAATAGCTTGTTAGTCTTGTTTATTTTATTATCTTTATATTACTTTTTATTTTAATTTTTTTTACTAAATAAAAATAAGGCCCTATAGCACTTACTAGTCTTTAAAGTTGTTATGTGTGTTAATGCTGTCTTTAGACAACTATATTAAGTGTGTAAAAAAGCATAGTAAGTATAATACTTTTATTTCTAATGCTGCCTAGGACTGCCTAAAGAAAAAAAAAGAGGCGCTTCTCTAAAAAGCCTTTATTATAAAGGCTTAGAAGTAGGCTTTACTAGAGGAGTAGCTAGCCTATAAGCGCCTTCTACTAGAAGAACAGCAGGCTTAGGACTAAAAGTAGCTTTACTTATAAGAGAAGATGCTAGGGGTAATAGATAAGAAGTGTTTTAAATAGAATTATATCTAAAAGTTACTAGACTTACTAAAGGCTTATTATATAAAGTACTTAAAAAAGAATCTCTTCTTCTTAGATAAAATAAAAGCCTTTAAGGCTAAAGTAAAGAGCTGTTTCTTTTCTTAACTTTTATTAGCTAAGACTTATTTTTAAAGGCTGCTACTATCTAGTAATAATGTAGCTATTTTTTTTAATATAAGTGCTTTATTACTTAGCTAGTTTTTTTTAAATAAGCCTAAAAGTACTTTTATACTAATAGCTGTGTGTTTCTTAAATTCTTAGCTAGTTTTTATATATTTTTACTAGTAAGCTACTTTTTTTATTTTACTAAAAACTTCTTTTAGTTTTTTTAATTACTTATAATATGTTTAACTTTATATTCTGTTTCTTTGTCTTTTTATTTTTAAGTAAATAAAAGAATTTCCTTAAGTGCTTTTTTTAATTTAAAGATATAGAACTATAAGTGTATTTTTATGTGTAGGGGAAGCTTAAGCTTGTAGTTGTCTTATTAAGTCTAAAAAACTTTATATAGTTTTATTTTTCTTTTTACTAGCTTTCTAGAGAGTCTTAGTATCTTTAAGTTTTTAGTGTTAAGATATATATAATCTTCTAAGTAAATTTCTAGTTTTAGCTGTTATAATTTATTTATATACTTCTTTATTATTTTTTTACTTGTTCTAGCTTTTACAGCTAACTTTTTATGTATCTAGTGTAAGTCTGCTAGCTAATTTATTAATTTCTATAGGTCTATAAGTTAATTTCTATGTAATGTAAAGTAAAGGTTATATTTAAAATTAGCTTTATATAGTGTTTTCTTTATTATAGCTAATTCTACATTATTAATAGCTAGCTATGCTATTAGAAGCTATGCTGCCTAATTATTTTAAGTGTAAGAAATGTACTTTTTTAGGTATCTTTTTACTTTTGCATTTACTCTTTTAGTCTAGCTATCTGTTTATAAGTAGTAGGCTATTAATAGCTTATATGTTATACTAAGGTGCTTTATTACTACTTTTTAGAAGCTGCTAGTAAATAGCTTATCTTAGTTAAAAATAATAATTTTAAAGCATTTATATACTAATATTATATTTTATTTTAATTTATAAATAAATTTTTTAGCTATTATTGTTTTTTCTAAGGGCTAAATATATAGATATTTAGTAGTTTTATTAAGTGCTACTATAATTATATTACACATCTTATTAGTCTCTAGTTCTTTAAACAGAGGTAATCTTATAATAAAGTCTATTATAATTATTGTCTATAGTAACTTTAGAGCTTTAATTAGTTAGAGGTACTTATATAGCCTATGCCTCTGCAGGTTGTTTTTATTGTAGGTATTACATTCTTTAAGCACCTCTATGCATAGTTGCTTTATTTTTAGTATACACTAAAAAATAGCAGCTTTTAGCTTTTTCTAGAGAGTGCCTATTTCTAGGTGCTTAAATATTAAGGATTTATAATATTCCTAGATTAAGTTCTTTTATTCTTACTTACTA